TTAGACTTTTTTAATAATCTTCAAGTTGGTGAGCTGTTTAAGAGTGTGAAGCCTGATCTAAAACATTTCCTTGGTAAATTTGGCATATGAGGTATATTTTGTCCTCTGTCTGAACCCCAAGTTATTGACTGAAAGAAGACATGCAGACATGTAGAGGCTTTTTCTAACCTTGCATCAATGTAGACAATCATGCATTATACCTGATCTTTTTCATACTTAATCCTAAACAGGGTACATTCAATATTTCATCATGAACTTTGATAATTACTATAAAATTATTTTGTATTTTATCTTCATTATGTCCTGAAATTTAAATTCTCTCTGTAGCTTTCTAGGAATTGTTATGCATACTATTGAATATATATATAATAAGTTAAATTAACTAAACTAACCTTGTAGTCTTGGCACATATTCACTTTTGCCATGATAGCTAATTTTTTTAAATACCTCGCTAAATAATTATTTTTTGCTTCCATTTACATGAGTGATACTTTGTAACTGTTTTCTGTACTTTTTAATTATTTTGTTTTAATTTTATATAAACCTCAGCAATTCTTTTGGGAAGCATTCCTTTTTTGTAGACTTTGAAGGAGTTTCTATGAGTGAATAAAATGATTTAGTTTTATGTTTAACAGCCATATCTCAAATTCATAATACTATTTAAGACCACCATTTTTTAAATAATTTAAAAAATATTTTATTTGTTTATCTTTAGAGAGGGAAGGGAGGGAAAGAGAGAGAGAGAGAGAAACATCAATGTGCGGTTTCTGGGGGTCATGGCCTGCAACCCAGGCATGTACCCTGACTGGGAATTGAACCTGCGACACTTTGGTTCGCAGCCCGAGCTCGATCCACTGAGCTGTGCCAGCCAGGCAAGACCACCATTTTTATTAATATTTTTATATTTCTGACTGTTTAAAGTGATATAGTAGAAAAACAGCTGAAAATATAGCTCCCAAATTAAAATTTAAAAACTCTGTGAGATAACCCTTGACCTTCTGGTTCCTAACAGATGAGGATTAGATTAGACTGCTGGTTTTCTCTCTGAAAAACCACCCTAGATCAGTACTTTTCAGACAGTAATGTGAATAGGTATCACTTGGAGATTTTGTAAAACTGTTTTTATGTTTCAGTAGGTGTTGATTGGGGCTGACATTCTTCATTTCCAACAAGCTTCCAGTTGAAGGTGCTGCTGATTCTCAGAGTGCACTGTGGGTAGCAAAATCTTAGAAGGAGCATATAGAGAGAGTAGCCTAAATCAAAGGAGCTTACATTAAAATAGAGAAAATTTTTGGCATACCTAAGGCTGTGGTAAATTGTGGTGAGTCTTATTTGACGATAGCCTTGTGTGTGAATGGCAGGATACATACAGGCCTGGAATCAGAGGTTGGAGAAGAGCTTTGGAATTTGGTCCATACCTCTTCCCAACATTGACCCGTGACTCGGGTCAACATTGTCCTGGAGCTTTATTGCCATCCTGCTCGCACTGAGATCTGTGTTTGAGTGGCAACAGCCCATGCCACCTAGTGTTTGACAAGTAATGTCAGAGGACTTCCAAAGTTGCAATGGGTGCAACAAACGTGTGGCTGCCACTGATTCCTCTCAGAGAGGTAGAAGACTATAGAGAGCTTTTTTGGCGAGGAGGGATGTCGTTACAACAGCAGAAGCCATAGCAACAGTAAATTCTCAGTGTTTTAAAGCTCCCCTAGGAAACTGAAGGTGTAGGCTGACAAAGCAGCCCCAAGTCCAAGAAGGAGTAGGTACTTGCAAGAAGAAATGGGTTGATAACTGTCTGCTTGTGGTAGAGACAGCTAAACTCTGATGAGAAGAGTTGAGTTTGGGTTTAAGAGTTGAGTGAATTAGCGGAGGCCAAGTGTACGCTAGTGAAAGAGCATGAAATCCCTGGGGGTCACAGTTGTAGGGGCAGACAGTGTTCTCTTGAAAGATTTTACCCCACAAACCTCACAGGTCATTTACAGAAATGCTGGAGTGTCTGGAGAATGTGCCTCCTATAATGCCGATCTGGGGGAGGGGCAAGCATTTTGTGCAGACTCCTGTATTTCCTAGAAAACAAAAAGTTTCATCTACAAGGAGAAGGACAACATGTACTGTCATCTTTAGGTCCACTCATTGCAGCTGCAAAAATGAAACTTAAACACACACTGACACCCTCATACCAACTCTACCCCTGGGAGAGGGGCTGGGATTCGACATGACAGTGAAGTAGAAAATCCCAAACAATCCCCAAAAAAGCTCCTAGAACTAGTATATGAGTTTATCAAGGTTGTAGGATATATAATCAGTATACAAAAGTAAATTCTATTTCTATATAATAACAGTAAACAATTGGAATTTGAAATAAATATGTATGTTCTAATTTAACATATAATAAAATGCTTAAGTATAAAGCTAACAAAATATGTGCAGCATGTATGTGCCGAACATTATTACAAAATACTAATGAAAGACATCAAAAGGAACTAAATAAATAGAGAAATATGTCATGCATGTTGAGTTGAAGACTATTGTCAAGATATCAAAATGATATAACTCCAATGAAAATCCCACCACATTTGTTTGGGGTGGTAAATATCAATATGTTGGCCTAATATGCACATGAGCATTTTAGGGGTGGGAGGTGGGTGATGGAACTTTTCTGTGTGGAATTGTGGTGGTAAATACATGATGTTATATATCTCAAAATCCTAGAAGCTATACCACAAAGAGTGAATGAATGTTAGTATGTGCATTTTTAAAAAATCAAAGACATAGATGTAATCCAGGATGGCACGTAGACTGTGACAAATGACAAAGGTAACTGAATTACAAGTGTCTGACAGCCTCACCAAATGAAAGGAAAAGAAAGGAGCTGACTTAATTATCTTTTGAAAACTATACCATAAGTGCATACTGTAGAACTAAAGACAAGAAAAATTAGAACAACAATTAAAATAAAATAAAATTTAAAAAATAAATAAAATAAAGTGTAAAAAAAAAGTAAAACTAAACTGTACCTACACATTACTTTCTTGCCAGGGATATGGGTGTGAAATTCTGAAAAGATTTCATATGTATACTAGTGTTGAACAAATAAGTGAATATATTGCGGATAATGAGAACCAGGTTTTTAACTATTGAAGTTAGAAGTAAAGAAATGGGGAAAGCCGTAATGGATCCTGTGGTACTAGATTGCAGTTGATGGAGTTGATAGTGACAGCGTAACAGTTTTTGCTATATTGTCATCTATTCATTAGCTTCTAGTTAGGGAGATTTTTCATTAGTTGTTTCTCTTATGGGTGTGACCTTTCCTCTACAAGGTGTTAAACTTCTTCTGGGGAATTTCTATCCTTTCTCTAATGTCAATACAAGATGAGGATGGGATATTTATAGGACACGGTCTATAGCTCCTGCTAACTGACTCATTCACCATCAACTTAAAAGGCCAGTAAATTGCATTTTTCAGATTAAAGTTAAAATTGCTTCTAGGTTATAGAAAAATGAATAATGGCTACAAAAGTGAGACCCTTTGCTTTTATTAGAAGATAAGAGTGGTAAATATACATTAACAGAGGCACATTTAAGTTATAATTATATAGCCAAATGGAAATGTGCTTTTTACAATTATTACTTTGATGCATCACATTTTATATCAAATACAGTAATTTAGAGGTTTCTATCAGGAAAAAATACTTTGAAAAATATAGTGCAGAATGTTGTTTGCTATGTATTAGTTGAAAATTCCTAATGATCTTTCGTTGCTAGGTTGAGTTTTCAGTAATATGCTATAGAAGTCCAATAGAAACATTCAATATTGTAGCATCTCAGATGAAAAGCATGAGGCGCTGTTTCTGTGATGTATCCAGGACATCTGTGGTTTCAGAGAAAACTGAGTCTTCCAGTTCCGATGTAAAGCAGTCCTGGTTTCTGGAATTAATATACGTGTCATGAACATATCTTGTCATGGTTTGTTCTTCACAGAAAATGAAATTAAAGGATTTGAGGGAATTTATGATGATCATCAGATTTTTCCCAAGTCTTCAGACAAGAAATCATCTAAATCCATTAATAATCAAGGCCCTTCTGGAAACACTTGAAAAAAGGAAATGTTGAATCCAACATAGCAATGATTTCTGATGTCTAAGACACCCCCTCTCTCCCTAATATAGGACAGGCTTTCAGATATTTACTAAATGTCCAGATACTTTTCTTTTCTTCTGGTTTCAGCATAGTAAGTCATCTTTGAAACTGAGAAGTCCTTTGATTTCTCCTTCATCTTATGCTATCTGTTATAGGTCAATTATGGTTTTTTTTAAGCCATAAATCTCCAACCCCTTCCACATACCCTACTTGTGGAGGAATTTCTGCAAGAAATAGGGTATCTGCCCCTAAAACTTTAGAGTTACAAGTAACTCCATATCTTCTGAGCCTCTTTACCCATGTTGATGATCATGATCAAACACTTGAATTCAAAGGTACTCTGCAGAATGACTAATTTTGAAATCCTGGATTTTATTTCCATTACTACATGGTAATATATTCCTCAGAGTGATTCAAGTATAAATAAAGGAGACAGCATTTGCAGTTGTTTATAAAACCTTGCAGATATATTTTCTGGTATTGAGCTTCTGAGGTTTAAGTTTTGTTTTTATTTCCAAAATAATGTGATTTTTCTTTTCCAAAAAAAGACAAATGTTTCCCTGACTATTGTGCAAATTTCCATAAGATAGCTTTATTAAATTAATTAATTATGTATTTATTTTTAGAGAGGGGAAGGGAGGGAGAAAGAGAGAGAAGGAAACATCAATGTGTGGTTGCCTCTCATGTGCCCCCTACTGGGGACCTGGCCTGCAACCCAAGCATGTGCCTTGACTGGGAATCGAACCAGTGATCCTTTGGTTCACAGGCTGTCACTCAATCCACTGAGCCACACCAGCCAGGGTTAGATCTCTTTTTAGAGAAGTAAAACAATTGTTATATTTTCTCTTTTTATTTTGGAACAGGTGTTCCCAAGGAAAGATGGATATTAAATTTTGACACAGACCTTTCAGATGGCCTTGTTTTTGCCACACTGTTGGGAGGCTATTGCCCATTTCTGGTAAGAATTATTTATATGCCTAATGATTTTCTATTTTTTTAAAGAACTTAGTTAAAATTTAAAGTATCTTCTGCAAACTGATTCTTTTAAATGTTTTGATTTTAAGTAGCATCTAAATCTGCATGGCTACCATTCCCTTTTTGTTTATTCTTGCATTTTGAGTGCAATAGGCTACTATAGACAAATGTTATGAAACGATTCTTGGCTGAATTACAGAGAACAGTTGAAAAGCAGCCATTTTTATTCCATTACAGAAAGGTTTTATTGTTGTCTTTTTCAGATTGAGCGTTATTTTGTAAGTATGTACACACGACCAAAAACTATTGAACAGATTTTTCACAATTCCCTGATGGTTGTGAATAGCCTTCTTGAAATTGGCCTTACCATGGGCATAAAGGTAAGTGCCTTTATATCCTACATTCTGTAAATATTTTATGAGGATCTGTTTTTCTTATTTATTTCCCAGCTTTATTAGGTATGATTGACAAATGAAATTTATAAATATTTAGTTTGGATGATGCGATTTTTCTAGGTGTACAATATCATGATGTTTTATGTTTATAATGTAAAATAATTAGCACAATTATGTTAGTTAAAACATCCATCACCTCACATAGTTACTGTTTTTTGAGTGAGTGACGAGAGCACTTAAGATCTCCTATCTTAGAAAATTTCAAGTGTGTAATCCACTCTTAATAACTATAATGACCATACTTTAAATTATATTTCTAGATCTTATTCATCTTTTAACTGAAAGTTTGTATCCTCTCATCTCCCCTATCCCCTGCTCTGGCAAACACTGTTCTACTCTCTGGTTCTATGAGTTTGACTTGTTAGATTCCATAAAGAATTGAAATCATACAATACTTGTGTTTCTGTGTCTGGCTTATTTTACTTAGCATTATGTCCTCCTGGTTCATTCATGTTGTCACAAATGGCAGGGTTTTCCTTTTTTATGACTAAGTAACATTCTGTTGTACGTATGAACCACATTTTCTTTATCCCTTGATCTGTCCACAGACACTTAGCTGTTTCCATATCTTGACTTGTAAGTCTGCAACTAAGCATGGGAATGCTGCTATCTCCATGATACTGATTTCATGTCCTTTGGATATATACCTAGTGGGATTGCTGAACCATGTGGTAGCTCTGTTTTTAAGTTTTGGGAGGAACCTCCATACTGTTTTCCATAGCGGCTGCACCACTCCTACCAATAGTGCACAAGGGTTCCCTTTTCTCCACATCCTCTCCAACACTTGATATTTCCTGTCTATTTGAGAAAAGCTATTCTAACAGATATGAGGTGATATTTCACTGTGGTTTTGATTTACATTGTCTCATGATTAGTGATGCTGAGCACCTTTTTATACACCTGTTGGTCTTTAGTGTGTCCATTGTGCAAAAATGTTAGTTGACTCCTTAATAATATACCTTTCTTCACAAATTTTAAATCTAAATTGAAACATACTTTTCATGGGATATTGCTAAAATGTGAAGATTGAAATATGTCTCTATCAAATTCTACTTGGATATTTTTTAATGTGCATAATTATGTACATCCAACTACACATAAAAAGAAAGTTTTAGTGATGGGTCCAGCTTTCTTAAATCATAGGAATGAATATGTTATTAATCTTACTGAGCTTGAAGCATGAATTAAAGGCACAGAGCTCTTTGAATATAACTATTGTATTATTGTCTTCTAATTAAAAATAAGTATTCATGTAGAGATCACAATGACAATATACATTTTTATTACATTTGGACCTCCAAATTATAATTCCATCTAGCTTTTCACATTAAGTCCTCAGTGGTAATAATAAAAAATATATTGTATGCTTAACATCTTTGAGCTCTTTGTTACTTTAGAGTAATTAAATTATATAATAAATTATTCTTAACTTTGAAGAACATACAAACTTATTGAATTATCAAGATATATGTGTGATAAATACTATTCTACTCATTTAATTGTCATTGTGTAAGAAATAGTGTAGAAATCAGATAAGAGAAGAGATTAGTGGGATCTAGATTGATCCACCAAAGACTTTGTGGTGGAGCCAGGACTTATTTGGCTTCTTTTAGGGTGGGTTGGATTTGGATTGGAAATAGTAAGAGAAGAAGGTGTTCACTTAGGAGTATGTGGCATAAACAGAATGTAGAATGTGTTAGAAAAGTTGACCTGAGTAAATTTAAAGAGCTAATTGGCTTCATCCAATGATGCTTGAATAGAGCAGCATGTCATCTAGCAACTAGAAAGGAGCTCTGTGTAGCTGTACAAAATGGAGGGGTTTTATAGGCAGAAAAAAGGAGGCAGGACAAGGAAGTGACCAGCAAAGAGTGGATTGTTTCAGGCTCTTTCAGGTTACCTTTCTTTGAGGGACTGCTGGGGTCTATCAGTGCTTAGGATTACATTCTTGGGAGAGGCTGAAGCTGCAGTTAGGTTAGTATTAAGCCTTAGTTTGGCGCCATGAGACACAAGTGCCTATTCTGGTCTTCTCTCTCTCTCTCTCTCTCTCTCTCTCTCTCTCTCTCTCTCTCTCTCACACACACACACACACACACACACACACACACATGAACAAATGACATATATTAAGGAAAATGTATGACTAGGTTGCTTAGGTTGCAATTTGGGATTAGAAAAATATACATAGGCATAAACTGGGATCTTGAATCAGCATAAAAAGTCATGAGTTTACCTTGTGGCAATTGTGGGAATAAAGGCATTTACCCTTATAACAATGGTGCAACAAATCGATGTTTCTCTCTCTCCCTTCTTCTCTCTCTCTCTTTCTAAAATCAATTTTTTTAAAAAGAAAATATAATTCATCATATTATGATTCTCTCCTTTGCTTTTTGATTTCCTCAGTTATAATGACTCAAAAGGTTTAATTGTGTAGCCAAAACTATTTTAAAATGTGTCTACTACTTAAAGATGCAGAGGTGTCCAAGATTTGATAAATGGCGAATGGGAAAATTGACAATTAACTTAGCAGACAATTATCAGGCTTTTACCAGCCAGTTCTAATTCATTAACTTTTAATCAGCCTGGATTTACCAACTACATTAAATGGCAAAGTTTAAAAATATCACCCTTAAATTAACTTAGCTATAATAAATTAATGTTGATGCCTAGTACTGGTCCACATTTGAACCCTGTGAAATTCAGCACTGCATTTACTTAGTAATGTTTATATTTCCCTTATTTATTTATTTAGTTAGTTAGTTAATTAGTTAGTTACAGGCAGAGGGGAGGGGAGGAAGAAAGAGAGGGAAAGAAGCATCAATATGTGCTTGCCTCTCATGTGCCCCCTACTGGGGACCTGGTCCGCAATGCAGGCATGTGCCCTGACTGAGAATTGAACCAGCGACACTTTGGTTCGCAGTCTGGTGCTCAATCCACTGAACCACACCATCCAGGTCTACGTTTCCTATTTTTTACATCCTTTGCAACTGTTGAATCAGCTACATAAGTTTCTGAGCCTATATCATATCCTGTTATTGTATCTTGTAAGCTCAAATATACAGTTATTACATAGTCTCCCTTTTATGACCTGCTTTTTATTTAAAGCAGAAATAACTGGGAATCATTTGGACTCAGCATAGAATATATTTTCATTTCCATATGCAGATAGATGGATATAAAAATAAATATAATAAATTTATAGAGGTTATTCTACATATAATTCACTGAGTAATGAGAAGAGCTAATGGTTAATGTAGATAATCTAAATTTTCTTAAAATTTTGTTTTTTTTATGAATTAGGATGTTTCAGTGTTAAATAACAGATTTCGCAGTAAAAGTGGTTTAAAAATAAAGAAATTCAGTTTTGCTTAAGGTGAAGTGAGGCAGTGGAATATTACAGGAATAGTTATTCAGTGTTTCAAGAAAGTTTTCAGAGATTCCTTTTGTCTCAACTCTTCTCAGCCCTTTGGCTTATATGTGCACTGATTCTTACTGAAAATTCTTACATAACACCTTCACACAGCTCTGCTTGGGCCTACTAGAGTAGCACCCTTTTATTGTGCTTTTCTTTTTCCTTAACTTAAACCTTTCTCAGTGTTCCAACAGCATATTTCCCATTGACCAAAATTGCATTCCATTCTTAAGCTAAAGCAGTGTTTGATAACAGAATCAAGAATCTTAAAAAACTTGGGATTCTTAGTAAAGAAGAAAAGAGAAACGAGCAAAGATTGCTCTTTGGAAGGCAATCAACAGTGTTCTCTGTGGGGTTACAGTATGTCAGTGGATAATACTACTAGTTATGGTTGATGTCTACTTTGACAGCTGGTGATATCTTAAAGTTAGAGCAAATGAAATAAATCTACCATGAAGCTCAGTACCATCTCACTTCTTGTTACTGAAGGGGAAACAGAGGCCTAATAAAACCATTTGATTTAGTCAAGATCATGGCACTGTGTAGTTGTAGGGCTGGAATTTAGTTTAGCAGATTTCTCCCCCAGCATCTTTCTGTGTTACGGTTTTTGTTTGTTTAATTCCTTATCTTTTGTTACTCCTGTAATACTGTCATCAGGTGTAAAAGTGGGTCAATATGATTAAAGTTCTTGGTTAGACCTCTATAGAGAAAATAATGATTATTTCTTTGAAATAGACTTCACATGAAAATCTTGTCTTTAGAAAACCTAACTTAATTTAGCATTTGGCCTTTTAAGCCTACAAATGCCTAAAGTGTAGCTGTGCAATATATACTAAAGTGTAAATTGTAGTTTAGGTTATTTTCATTGAAATTTATCATGAAGAGAGTTAAGAATACCCCTTTGTCTGATTTTCCAGTATAATATCTTAACTATCAAATATATTTCTCCACTAAGATAAGCATATTTTTTCATGTCTAAATTTTCAAATATGAGCTTTTGGAGTACTTTTTGTACTTCATTCTGTATATTTTTCATATTGGAGTCACTAAAACAATGTTCAGAAGACTTTTGTTGACCTTAGACTTGAGCCCAGAGTGCTCTGCTGCAAGTGTTCTCCTTTCCCCAAGAAAAACATTTCCCACCCCCCAGGCAGCCCTCTTTGGATCATACCCCCAGGCTGGCCCATCACACAGGGCCCCTCAGGACCATACTCTTCACTTTGTGAAAATTAAACTCTCTATCTAATTTTTCATTTTGTTCTTATCTTAAATAACTTTCCTTCATCAGCTGACTACCATGGTCTTCATTGAAGAAATGTGGGACCACAGAATACTGATGAGAAACCTTGGAATTTCACACTTTCTTAGTTTTTCTCAAGTCATACTCCCTAACAACTTTCTACTCTTATTTTTTACTGACAGTCTCCTTCCCAGTAAACCCTACTGCTTATTGACAGAACAAAAATAAAAAAACTCTTCTCTTCTTCCAAAAAAGGAAAAGAATGTTTTTGGAAATGTGAATTAGCAGATAATCAGATCGGCTATAAATTATTCTCTGGCAACTGCTGCCAAATTTTAGAGTGAAGTGCCTTAGTTCCACAGAGAGTGAGTAGTGCCCCCTCCCCTTAACCACCAGAGATATATTCTGTGACCGCCAGTGGATGCCCAAGACCACAGATGCCTGAATACTCTGTTTGCTATGTATATATACTATATATCATCTTTTTCCTACACATACACACTTATGATAAAGTTTAATTTCTAGATTAGGCACAGTAAGAGGTTAACAAAAACAACTAATAACAAAATAGAACAATTATAATAATATACTGTGATAAAAATTGTGTAATGTAGTCTCTCTCAACTAACTAGCAGGGGTTTCTTTTTCTTTTTTAACAATTATATGGATAGCTTCATTCTTATGGTAGATCTAAGCAGCCTCAGCATATATATTTTTTTCCTTATAAAGTTCAGAACTTTTACCTTCCCATTTCAAGAAAAAGCACTTTACAGCTTCTGTTTGGCATATCCAAATGACCAGCATCATCACTCTTGTGTTTGGGGACAGTATAAAGTGAACTAAGGATGACTTGAGCGCAAGCACTGTGATACTGTGGCAGTTGATCTGGTAACTGAGGCACCTACCACGTGACTAAAGGGCGGGTGGCACATACAGCATGGAGACACTGAACAAAGGGATCATTCACATTCTAGGCAGGACTGAACAAGATTTCATCACACTATGGAGAACAGCGCACAATTTTCAACTTACAAATGGTTTCTAGAATTTTCCTTTCAATGTTTTCAGATTGCATTTGACCATGAATAAGTGAAACTGTGGCAAGTGAAACTGTGGATAAGGTCCTACTGTAACACTTTGGATTTCCTTAACTCTAGCTGTTTACATTTCTAGGCTAGGCCCAGGTCATTTTCAGTTGTGAACTTGAATGAGTGCCATTTAGTCATACCATGTTCTTCATTTTACGGAAGTGTGGAGAGCTCCCTGTACATTGTCAATGACTGAATTGCTTATTTATCAGTGGTATTTTATGTCTTTGAATCTGTTTCTCAGATCAACCCAAATTCCTTTTTGATATGAGTAATTCTTCCACACTACCCCCAGATTGTTCTAGAAGATCAGAGGCACTACATGAATTGATAGAAAGAATCTTCCTCTTTATGCTCCTGACTCTACTGTTTAGCTTCACTGTGCATTCTGGCTATATTGATCATCTGTGCCATTATCCCCCTGTAATCTGGATTCTACCTCAAATCTAGTCCAACAACCATCACTAACTTGTCTTGTTTATCACTATAAGTATATTTTCTGCCTTAGTATAATTCGTCTGTTCTGGGAAAAGTACTTCCCCAACCACCCACTGCTTGATCTGCTTCAATTGTTGTTCCTGTGTTATTGCTTGCTCAGAAACCAAGTTCCCGACCCTGGTACCCATGCCCTCCACAATGTGGTTCTTGCACACTGCTCAGTCTTTCCTGGCTCAAATTGTACTTCATCCTCCAAGTGAACACTGTACTTCCCTATGTTTTTGCCCTATAGTACTTTGTCTTTCTGATAAAACATGCCCTTTACCTCACACCCAACACAACCTATTTGATGTCCAAACAGCCTTCAAGTTCGTCTCATGTGTTACCTCCTCCCTTGGGGTTTGCTTGAAAATCTCTTGCGATCTTTTACCTAAGCACTTTGCCTACTTCTCAAGTTTTCTTTTAGTGTATTCTATGATACTTTAATAACTCAGGGATGTTGTCTTACAGTCACATTGGTCAGTATTTCTAGGGGGTAGTATCTTTCTGACCTCTGACTAGGTTTTATGGGAGTCTTTGAAGGCTCTGAGGTCATTGTTATACTTAGAATACTTCTCATTCATCTTTTAACACTTAAGTCAAGCTCTTCTGATTTACAACAATATTTTCTTAATTGTATCTGCATTTCAGTATCATTGCCAGTCAGTAACACTTGAAACAGTTTTAAAGTATTTCAACAATTGATTACTGTGCATTAGCTCTAGTTATATATTTTATCTGTAAGTCCTCTTATTTATATTTCTCTTCTTCAAAACTAGGCTACTGACATCTGTGACCCTAATCCAATCCTGATGCTCATGTTTTGTGTCTTCTTATATGAAAAACTCCCTCAATTTGTCCCCAAGGAAGTGGTGATCTTTAATTGTACTCTACATGAAGCTATGATAAAATCGGTAAGGATCTATTTAGGGGCAAAGTATACAAAGTTAACACTTAAGAGGGGTTTTAGATATTTCTTTCCCAGCCTCAAATTAAGAGAAGTATCAATATGATACCATAAGCCTTAGCAAATGTTGCTCCTTCTAAACCAAAGGTATAGCAGAGTGAAAGGGACAATTGTGCTTAATAATAATCACCATCAGCAAGGAAATGATGATTCTTTCAGGCAGTTGAGGAATGGGTGTTGGAGATGTGGAAGATAATGGTTATGTACTTTGAAGGGCCAATCCTTTCAGGAAACTTGAAATCCATTTCATGTGCAAGAGGACTGACACCCTAAGTGGAAACTTGTGACCTGAATGTGCTTGGTTTTCCTTTAGGGAACAGTTTATACACAGAGATGGATTTTGTTCCGATGTGGATGTAGGAAAGGAAGTAATAATGGAAGTGCTCCTGACTTGGGCCCCCTAATTCCCATTTAAATGATACTATGTATGCTGCAGGTACTAAATGTGTAATGGTGGATTCTTTAATCCTCAGAAAAAAATTGAAAATGAAATTTCAAGTCCTATAATAATAGCAAGTGTTCTATTTGGGAAATATCTTATCAGGGATAATTGATCTCAATTTCAAACAATTTGTTTCACATGAACACTTGTGAAATATCTTCTGCCATGCAATTTTAAATTGCTTATATTTATCTAAGATTGTTTCATAAGATCTTTAACCAGATTCATAGGTGGTCTCCTTGCTTCTTTCTCAGGACACTAGGGACTGATAAAATCTTATTTTGTACACAAGTTATTTTACTGCTTGGTCAGATCATGTTTATTTCTCTTCCTTAGGCTGTTTTATGTATTCTCCCCTGTATTTATGGGTGAGTGTTAAGTTTATACTTCCCATGCAACACTTGTCCACATGTGGTCTTCAAAATATATGTCCTGGTGATGTTTGATTTCTAGCTGTAACCTCTTTTAAAAAAATAACTGTGTGGCCTCTGTGCCTATAGGAGTGAAGATTGGTATGATTTAGTTAAAACTCAAGGGAAAAGCTCAGGTTCTTGTCTCAAAGTGTAAAGGCTCAATTTAGGGAAAGTAAAGTCACTCCTTGTGATATTTTTGCTAGAGAATATTGAGATAGAATCCCTGTTGCTTAATTTTATTCCTTTCCCCTTTTTGTCAGAGAAAGAAATATAAAACTCTTTGGAGAATTTTTTCAATAGTGTTTACTGTCCTCATTCCCTAACTGCAATGATATTCAAGAGCCTTGGGTACTAACTAGCCTAGAGCTATAATTATATTGTAGAGAACTTCTGACTTCAAAATAAAATCTATGAACAGTTGGAAATGTTTTGCTTTAGACCTGCAAAGATAGTAGGAGTCTAAATTAGATTAAGCATTGATTTATTACAGTTAAGTGTTATTAACTATTCTTTAACTCTGACCACATATTTGTAATTCTTTATAGCATTTAATTGTTATTTAAAAATGTATTTAATAACACACTCTCATATTTAAACAAAAATTTTACTTGTGATGGGAAAAATCAAATAAAACACATAAAATGGAAATATGATTTCTTTCTAATTTAACTCTTTATTAAAAATATTGTCCACACCTTAAGATTACAGGTGACATTATACAGACAGTTTTTATTTTTCACAAGTGTTAGATACATATTTTTGAAGGAAACAATAAAAGTTAAATATGAATGCAAAAGACAACATCAACTGCAACAAGCTGTGAGTTTAAATTTCATTTAATAAAAGTCATTAATTTGGAAGTTGCTGAGAAACTTAGCCATAGCTTGCCCCTATGCATCAACCCCAGAAATGGCAGCGCCTAAGTCATAGAATATCATTCTTTTCAACCCTTTCAATCTTCCAGGAAAAAGAAAAATCTCAGAAAGTGGCTATTACAATTGAAAACATATTTCTGGAGCTATATGAGTGTCTCAAATAGAAACATAGAATATTTCAACCATTAAACCATATGGTGATCAATGAAAAACTGTAGAGTGCAGTGATTTTCTGAGACAATTTTTAAAGCTATGAACTTTTCTTCTCCTCTTTTTGGAAATACACTTTGCACAGAAGAACAGTTGTTAAAGACTGACCATCACCACAAAATGGGAATTGAGGCTCCAAAACTGTCTTGCTTTCCCGCTATCAGCTTTCCTTTCTCCGCCACCCCTCCGTGAAATCCTGCAGTTGGGTGGAATACTCTGACCACAGATGAGCCCAATGGCCTTGTGTCATATGTATGATATGACAATGAGGATGAATGTCTTCCTTAAGAACTCAGGGTTGGTTATGGATGTTCCAGGACTATGAACCAATAACACTGTATAATGAATTTATTATTATTTTAAAACTTTTCTTACAGAAAATGGAAATTAGCCTTCTGGGACTAAAAAATCACTTGGTCTATTAATTAATTCTTTAGGTGCTGAAATCTGTAAGTAGATAAGCAACATGAAGCCCCCACATTTGTTGGGGTAACTGAATGTGTGTACTCTTCAGCAACAACCTACTTGTTCTGGTAGTTACCAAACTTTTCATTGATATATAAAAGTAGTTAATCTAATCTGTCAACAAACCTCTACCATATTCCTTAGAATTCACTATAATCATACATAATGCTAATTATTAACTCCTCAATGTCTGTGACTACAGTTGCTGGACTGCTTAAGTGCAGTTATCTTGTCTTCATTGTAAAGTGGCCAATCATCCATTTGTCCTCTCTTGGGTCAGTACTTTCCATGGTAACCTAATGTCTTCCTAATGTGTATGTTTGAATCCCCATTATATTCTACACAAAGGCTTGTATACTTAAGTTGTCATGCAATACTCTCTCTAAAAATGAAGTAACTCATTCTCCAGTACTCTCCACACCTCAGTATTAGGAAGGAAGGGACAGACAAACTCTAGCTACACTGTGGTTCTAGATGAGGCGACCATCGTTTCCAGCTTGGACCTCTGATTTTGAACCTGCACTCTTTAAAACTTTCTACATTGAGCAGCCAGATTAATTTTTTTTGTAAATTGGACTGTATAAATTCCGTTTGAAATTATCCAATGATTTTTCTTGGCATTAAGAATTAAAATCCAAGTTGCTAACTTTGGACTTCAAATCCTTGTGTCACTTCCTTGTTTGGAAGTTCCTTCTGCCTGTCTGTCCATTTTTGCTAAACTATATATATGCCATCTTCAAAAATGAAGTCTGTTTTCCTCTAGTTAGTGTACATTAGAAACAAATATTTTCATGATTAAAATGTATAACTCTCTTTGATAAAATAAGAAATGCTAAGTTGTATATTTTTTAAAATTCATGATGTTCTTTTTACTCTTGTTCTGCAACATAGATTAAAGTGCGAAATTCAAGCCGTAAAGCCATAGTATATAAAATGACATTTATTGGAAGAGATGCCACTGATTTCTCCCTTCACATGTCAGAGAATATTGTGACAATTCCTGCAGGGTAAGTATTTTATTAAAAATTTTCTTCTTTGAATGTATCAGCTAAAGATTTAATGTGTGTTATGATTATTAAACAGTGGTCTTTTTAGCAGATATATATAAATGAAAAGATCATTACTCACACATAGATAAATATTCCCATGTTGCTTCAATTCCTCATCAACTTTGTTAAAAAAATTTCTAACAACATAAAGCAGTTACATTTCATGTATATATTTAATTTTAGTTTATCTTTCATACAGATTAAATAATACAGATTAAATAATAAATTGTTTATGTGGTACATTACTGTTTCCTGCAGAAAATAGGAAGCAGTGTGTGCTAAATATATACATTTACATAGCATTATATGTTATATACAGTTGTTTCTGATTATAAAAGCACTATGTGCTCATTGTATAAAACTTAGAAACTATGAAAGTATAAAGAGAAAAAAGTAGAAGAATGATAATCAGACCTGAAAGATACCTCAATGTTCCCATTTTTCTCTATCCCTAGTCATTGTGTATGTATAGATAGATAAGTAGAGATAGGTAATGTCATACATTTATAAAAGCACTGTCTCTTTTTGAATATCTTTATTTAATAACATCATGTCCTTAATTTGAGGTTACAGTAACTTTATAAATGTCTCTGACTTTTACATTACTTGTATTATTTTCATTTTCTTTAAGGTCAGTTCTTAACATTTGTTTCTCTTGGTCCCAGTCTTTCCACATTGAAGGTCTGACTCTAATGACTTGTGATACCCATTTATCCATTTATATGTAATAAAATGGCCATAGAAAAGTCAGTTGTGAGTCAGTAAATGCACAGGTTTGTCAATTGGCAGATTTCACTTTAGAGTGAGAACATTGTGCTTTTAGGCCCAATTGCCTGGCATTCTACACTGGCTTTGGGAAGAGTGGGGCTGTCTGAACCCATTTTGCCCTCTCTGAAACTAGGCTTTCTGGAAACAGCTTCTCCAGGAGTCTCACAGGCCTTTGTTTCCTGTATTAGCCTCTTTGAGGTGTTGCTCAATGGCTCCTTCTAGCTAGCACTTTTTATAGAAAGCTTCCTTTATTATAATTTTAATGAGATAATCTGTGTTTTAGATGCCATTGTAACCTAGCTCTTCTATTACGTCATTTAACAATTAAATGCTGTCCTTTGAAACTGACATGTACTGACTCTATGATCCAGCCTCATTTTCCTTATTTTCCTTGGAAAATGTGGATCACACAATTTTTTTAGGCCAGCCCCCAATCCACTGAGACACACCAGCTAGAGCGGAAAGTGCTGGTGATTTATAGATGAAAACATCAACACTATTCACAGTGTTTACAATCTAGCAGAGTGCCGTATAAGCAAATATACAACGAAGATACAATTTGATAATTGTTTTATTTGTGATGTGTGTATAAAACCAGGGGGAAATGGAAAAAAGAAGACACCTAAGTGTTCTTGGGAAAACCACAGAAGGGTTCTTTAATGCTTAATTCTCCGTGTATGTGGAAAACAATTATTCACTTTTCTGGATGCATTTTATTTTGTAGGCTTGAATACTGTTATTAGGTGGTTATATAAGTATCTGTTTAGCTAGACTTAGTAATTTTATAGTCTTTGGTTTTTACAAATAGGATTCAGAAACTGTTTTGTTTTCTTAAACAAAAAAAAAAACTTGTGGCTTTATCATTATCAGATATTATATAATTATCTATGTGCACCACATCCTGTCTTAGAATCTGTCTAAATCACAATTAATAATAGCTCTTTCTGCCAGCTGGAGATTTAAATTCTCAGAGATATAATTTATATAGAAAAATTAAACAGCTACATCAACAAATAAACAAAAATGTTTATTTCTGCACCTAACGTCATGACTAAATTTAGCTATAACCATAGAGTGACTCGTAAAAGTGGAAGTATAGTTTTAGAAAACCATTCTGTTTCTTTTTTCCCTCATTATTCTTGTTGAGCCATATGGTCTCTGACAGTGATGTGTTGTATATTTATTCTCCATCTTTTCCAAAAGCCAAGTTGAAGTAGCTTATGAGGTACATATAACATGGAGATTATTTTTAAATGAGGGGGAGGCAATTGGAACAAAAAAAGTCAAAGGTAAGAAAATTAGGATAAAACCTATACTTATAATATACATGCCTGCAGACCTAAGACATGACCTAAGTTTGACCACCCATTTGATTCTGAACTTTCTAATACATTTCAGGAAGGAATCCTTGTCATTTACATGCTTCAATATGATTACACATTTTTTTATAAAGGGAGTATTTATACTCAAGAGAAGCTCAAATCTTCATGGTTCTAAAACCAGCCATTGGCTTCATACAAATGATACTGTGTTTTAAAATGTGTTTCACTGGCCCTGACCCATGTGGCTCATTCGCTGGACATTGCTCTGCAAAACAGAAGGCTGCTGGTTTGATTCCCAATCAGGGACATGCCTGGGTTGCCAGTTTGGTCCCCAGGGTGCGTATGACAGACAACCAAATGATGTTTCTCTCTCACATCACTCTTTCTCTCCACCTCTTTCTCCCTCTCTTCCCCTCTCTCTAAAAGTAAATATGTAAATTCTTTAAGAAATATGTTTCATGGGACTTAAGTATACATTCGTAAATTCATGTACTAAGTGCATGTTATTTAGAATATGATCATTCTTGAACACCTTTTTCCGTCAACTTCCATGGAGATCCAATCCATTACCTAGTGCTATTTATTTTACTGTATGTATCCTAAATATGTCATCTTTTCCTCTGACCTACGTGTTCCATTCTAATTTAATGTATAGTCATCATCTTTAAACTGAGCTGTTACAATGGATTCCTAAAAGGATTTCCCTTCAATCTGTCCTATATATCAGAATGGCAATAATTTTTTTAAATGCAAATTTGGTTATGTTACTCTTTTACTTAGAATATCCCTTTGGCTTCCCATCACCACCATGGTATAGACTGAACATCTCAACATGGTCTATGTGGCTTTCATGGTGGGCTCTTCACTCTGTCTTGCATCACTAGGATATATATGGACCTTTCAGGCTGTATCACAGTCCCCATTATTGTGCTCTCATGCCACTTGATAGCACACACATAATTTGTAGTTTTCACATTTATTTTGTGATGGTATGTTATCCATCATGTCCTATAAAATGTAAGAGCCAGGAGATTAACAAGAGTGTTTTCTTTTTTAAAATTGATTCTAGAGAGAGCGGAAGGGAGGGAGAAAGAGAAACATCAATGTGCATGCACCAGACCGGGGCCTGAACCAGCAACCCAGACATTTGCCCTGACAGGGAATCGAACCAACTGAGCCACACTGACCAGGGCAACTGTGTATGTTTTTTTCTCACAACTGTATCCCAAAATCTTAAAACAGTGCTTGGCATAATATAAATTATCCATAGATATCAATTGAATGAATGAATGGTCTTATGATTATTAACCATATTATTAACCATTTATGATATTATTTCTTAATATCTAAAAAAATCCTGAATCACTCATAGGTACCTAACACAGAGCTTGAGCCCATTATACCCAGAAAAAGATCAGGAGAACAAATATTCTTTGTTCTCAATCAGATTCAAGTCCGTGATCTCTTCATAATAGCCAAGAAAATGTCCTTTTTCACAAATTGAGATTAGCGATAGCATATCTGGATAAAAAGCATTCTCACTCTTGCTAGATGTGAGCTGTAATTTTCTCTAAAGAGCAGTTTTGAGAATGTTACTATTGATCTGAAAGCCTCCATTCACTTTACTCTGCTGCTCCCTAAACTCACCCATTCCACAGTAATTCCTCAGTCATTCTAGGGAAATTATGCCAAAGTTTGACACCCAGGGAATCTCTTCCCATCTCTATTTCCAATCATGTGTATCCTAAGGGAAGGTGATTGGAGTTGTTTGTACAAAAAATAATTGTGAAATGATGTATCATGCTATGTATGTTAAAAACCAGGGCAAAAGCAAAGGTAAAATTCCCCCAAGATTTATCATCCACAGTTGTGGCAAGCCAAGGCATGGCTGAAAGATTCAGCCAGTAAAGAAACAATGAAAACTATTTTTTACTTGAAGAGTTCTTTATTTACAACAGCAATGCAAGCAAAAGTAATCAATGGGCTAGGTCCCATGTCCTTTTGCAGCGCAATAGCAAAACAAAAGGGACCAGATGAAGGGAACATACACAGTAAGACACACTGTCACTGACAATCAGTTTCATGCTGCAACCAAATAGTTTTATAGCCCCTAACTCTACCCTGAAGGGGGCTGGATAGCAAGCCTCAGACCTCATCGGAAACTGTCGGGTGACAGCCTTGCAGGGGAGTAGGAAGACAAGCGAGAAATGCTCTTGTAGCAGCACTTCAAGAGCCTCCATGCATTTATGTTACAGGAAGATCATAGAACTTTGTGCCAAGACCTCACATCCACTGCAGTTTAGGCTTGCATATATGGCCTTTGTGTTGTCAGGCAGGGTTGCCAGGACACCGTGACCCAGTCATTCCCCTACAAACTGAGAAGGGAAATCTCCAAGGCCATAGACTCTTTCCTTTTTACTATGTTTTAGGCTACAAAGTTGAAGATTAAGGGAGATAGATATGTTTTCTTGATTCCTTCTTTTAATTACATATTTCTTGCATCATGTTACTTATATTCCATTAAGTTCATCTGAGATTTGAATTTTATTTTCAACCAGAGTTCTAAGTATCTTTTGCATTCTTATTTTCTCACATTTTTTCCTCCATGTTACCAAAAACCAGTGATACGACTAAAAAAATGCCTATATAGTAGCACAGAGTGTCTTATGAAATTCACACAAAAATATATTATTTTCTTTGGCCAGCTGTTAGAAAATCCAATATTTGGTAGATTATACATATTCTTGGAAGTTAACGTTAGAATTATAGACTAGATCAAGACATTTTCTTTTTTAATTAATGTATTTTGCAATTGCAGTTGACATACAATGTTATGTTAGTTTTCGGCATATAACATAGTGGTTAGACATTTATATAACTTACAAAGTGATCACCCCAATAAGTCTAGTATCGATCTGACACCATACATGATTATTAAAGTATTATTAACTATAGTTCCTATGCTATACTTTATATCCCTGGGACTGTTTTTATAACTGGCAATTTGTGCTTAATCCCTTTCACCTTTTCCAGCCAGTCTTCCAATCCGCCTCCTATCTGGTGACCATCAATTTGTCCTCTGTATCTATGAGTTTGTTTCTATTGTGCTTGTTTATTTTGTTTTTCATATTTCACATATAAATGATATCATATGATATTAGTCTTTCTCTAATACCCTGTAGGTCCATCCATGCTGTTGCAAATGACAAGATTTTACTCTCTTTTATGGATGAGTAATATCCCATCATATATATACCAACTCTTTTTTATCCATTTGTCTATTGACAGTCACTTAAATTGCTTTGATAGCTGCTTGGCTACTGTTAATAATGCTGCAAAGAACATAGGGGGCATAAATCTTTTTGAATTAGTGTTTCGGACTTCTTCAGTTAAATGCCCAGAAGTAGAATTGCTGGGCCATATGTTAGTTCTATTTTTAATTTTTTAAGGAACCTTCATACTATTTTCTGTAGTGGCTGGACCAATTTGAAATCCTACTAACAGAGCATGATGGTTCCCTTTTCTCTGAATCCTCACCAGCACTTGTTACTTGTTAATTTATTAATGATAGCCATTCTGAAAGATATGAGGTGATATCTCATTGTGCTTTTAATTGGTGTTTTCCTGATGCTTACTGATGTTGAACATCTTTTCATATGTCTGTTGGTAAGGGGTTTATATAAAAATATATAAAGATGTCATACAACTGAACACCACAAAAACAATTCAATTTAAAAAATGGGCAGAATACTAGAATAGACTTTTCTCCAAAGAGGACATACAGGTGGATCAAGATGTTTTAACTAATGACAATAACTAGATTGTAAGTTTCCTGAAATCAGCGACAACCCTGAGTTTTATTGTAGAAGTGAGTATATTGCAGAGTGTAGGCACTGGGCACATGGTCTCCATTGAATAGATGGTTATTATCTTTTTTCAATAAAATATTTTCCTTGTATCTTTTATGAAATAGAGGCCACATCATTGTCACTGTGCTGTTCGCTAGTCGCTTCCTTCATCCCGCTGAAGCTTCACTGATGTTACTTTCAAAATCTAAGCTTGAAGTCGGAAGCACTGCAATGATTTATGCCCTTAAAGGTGAAGTCCACGAATTTCATCCTATTGTAAGTAAATTTTACCTATTTTGTATGTCTTCATTTCTCTTTCCAGGCAATGGAGTATCCTAAGCATAGCTATTCTTCCTAGTTTTATCTCCTGGCAGCTCTTATTCCTTGAGACCCAGTGTGTATGTACTTACATTTGCCCAAATTTTGGCCTCTGTGTCTCTGATATCCTTACTAGGATACATTTTCTGTGAAAATACATCTCTAGTTTCATAATAGAATTTGAAAGGACTTGTATTGAGTATTATTTTAAGATCACACTTTTAATATTACCATACATTTGTGCTTTTCACGAAGGAGTCATTCACTGTACACATAGCAACTTATATGCCCTCAGCCCTGGAGACTTGTGGTTAAAGTTAAAGCAGTTCCTAGGCCTGTTTCTGCTTTTGTTTGAATTAAGAGTTGGTAGTTTACACAGCAAAGAAAATGTTTCTCTTCTCCAGTTGGAATATTCATCAGTTTATTTTCACTGCCCAGTGGATTAAATCATTCTAAATATAATGCTAAGACCGACATTTATCAAGAGGGGGTGATGTTCCACATTTGGGTTTATATCTCAAAAGATGAGGGAGAAGGACTTTAACATTTTCTATAAAATCAGTGTGACATTGCCATGATTGCCTTTTTGTACTCAGTGTTTTGGCACAATATTATTTTCTAACATGGACTTATGGGGAAAAAAAGAAGTAAATTTGTTATATGGATTATAAAGAATTTTAGGTGTGCAGTGGAATGAGTAGGAAATAAATAGAATGACTCTAGTAATGGTGAGTTGTGTAAGGAGAGTATTAAGATGTTCACAAGGACAGACTGGCTTACTAGACAATGACACCCAGAACTGGAAGCAGGCATTTGATTGTCACTGAGATGTGTATTGTGACCTGATTTTCTCATGCATAATGCTCTTACACTCCCCAAGCCTTTCACACAAATTCTCTGAAACAAAGCATTATGTTGCCGCATGTATCAAAGAGACATGGATGGTTTTATTAGCTTCTTATTAACATCGCTCTGGGTCAGAAAAGCTGACACTTGAAGCTCATGTGGTCTCTGTTTACTTGTCCATTGACTGCTCATGGCCTTGGTCACCAGGAGGTAGAGTAATAGTGGAGAAATGAAAGAAGGTAAGAACATGATCAGTCTGAAAATATAAAATTCCTAGAATTTTTTCTTCAATGGAAGTCCCCTGGGTAATTTGAATTTTAAATTTTATACCTGTGCTTTTATTATAGTAAAAATATGTCAGTGTAGCCACCGCATTATACACACTGGCATATCACACTCATGCACAGCCATACACAGATATTCATGCACTCACACACTTGTGTGCATATGCACACACACTTGCCTCTCCTTTATGTTGTGTTACTAGGTATATATATATAATTAATTAATTTGCAAATGTGAGATACTCAGTGACTAATAAAAGTTTTTTAAGGAAATCTATTTGAGAGATACTATGTGACATGTTTGCAGTTGTTAGCACAGTACTGGGGATCAGCGATGATATAAAGTAATGAAATGTGTTTTTATGTCTTCCCACTCAGATTCTTGCAGTACAGTGTTTCTGGGAAAAGGGAAATTATATCAATTAATATCATTGTAATATTTAAATGAACAGGTTTTTAGATACTTTAAGCTTATATTTTATAGTTCAGGTTATTCTCTTTTTTATTTTTACAATTCAGTATATCTTTGTTTATTTTTCTTTTTACTTTAGGAAACTATAAAATGCAAAACTCCATGTTATCAATGGAAAGATATCACTGTGAATGTTACAAACCCCTTCCATACTGCTGGGGACTTCAAGTAAGTTATTGTTTTGGTTTAAATTCATTAAATTAGCCATATCCAATCTTAAGGGAAATATGTAATTTTCTTCAAAATAAACTATTTTGAGGAGAAATATTTTCTATTTACATTCCTGTAAGTTTATAAGCATTATCATATAAAATAAAAGAACTGATGAAGGTAAATCAGTTTTCCTTGAAATGCTATTGATGTATATAAAGCTAAGACTGATAATAACAAATTTATGAATTTTGTGCATAAGCTTTCTGTTTGAGGTGTACTGTTCTTTCCATTTCAAATATTTATAATTAATAGACTTTTTATTTCTAACTTTATTTCATCTATTAATTTCTAAAAGTAAACTATCTATTCAAGCAGAAAATTTATTTTTACCTAAGGTGTCTTTGATTGAAACTGCATACTAATATTTGTATGTCTTGAGATTTAACGACAATATCAGCAACATAGATTTGAGGTGAAAATACAATAAAATGCTTAATTATTGTTTAAGTTCACAGTAGAAACATACCCTGCTATATACTTACATGTTGAGGGAGAAGGTGGATAATGATACCTTATGTACCACTTAAATTATAAACTGTCTTTCCACCAACTTTAGAAACCAGATCCTTACAACAGTACCTCTGTTGAGACCATAAGTTGTATGCATGTTTATTAATGTTTGATAATTTTGAGTTTTTTAAATCACTGTATATCTAGGCTTTTGGTAATTTCTTATTAACAAATATCATTTATCATTGACAAAACATAAATTCTTTTGTTTAACAGTTATTGGTGAATTTATGGTTCCTAAGATCATGGAGGGAGAATTTTATTTACTATAATTTTTTAAAGTGTTACATCAGAATGTAAGGAACATAAAATATCAGAAAATACAACATTAACCCAGGATTAAAATATGACCTTAAGGGTAATTTGACTGCCACTTCCCTTGCATGAATATGGTCCTTAAACTTAGGTAAAATTTTCAAATGCAAAATTTAAAAACCAATCATAACATTTATAAAATCAATATTTTGTAGTAGGCATGTATTACTTTTCAAAATTTAAAATATTTAAAAAAACAAAAACAAATTAATTTATATAGAGACTATTTTAATGTTATAAACAATAACAATAAAGTGACCTAATTTTTGATATGGCACTTATAAAGTGATCAGGATTCAGTTCTTATTAATAATCTCATATTAAATATATTTTAAAATAAAATAAATATTTCCATATATTTTCCCTAAAGTTCTCTGTAGCACAGTGACCAGATTTGCTTCTTTAAAATCAAAATTTAGCATAACTTTTAACAAAAAAGTTAACCTAGTTTAGATTTAACAGAGACAAGATTAACACCCATGATTGTGTCTACCAGATCAATGGTTTCAATTTTTTTGTTTGTAGAATGCAGCTATTACTTGCTGTGTAATGCCTTTTTTTACATGTAGTGAGATTTGGTTTGCTAGTATCTTGCATTTCTAGTCAAAGGATTTAATAGTGTAATTCCCTTTTCTTGTGATGTCTTTATTTGTGTTTGTGTGTGTGTGTGTATTACTAATATTAGTCTCAGAGAATGACTTGGGAAATGGTCCTTTCTATTTTTGAAGAGTTTATGAAGGATCGGTATTCTTTCTTTTTTTAAGATTTTATTTACTTATTTTTAGAGAGAGGAGAAAGCAAGGAGAATGAGAGAGAGAGAAACAGTGTGTGGTGTCTCTCTCTTGCCCCCCACTGGGGACCTGGCCTGCATGCCAGGCATGTGCCCTGACTAGGAATTGAACTGGCAACCCTTTGGTTCACAGGCTGGCATTCAATCCACTGAGCCACACCAGCCAAGGCAGGATTGGTATTCTTTTAACATTTATGAGAATTCACAATTGACATGATCTGGGCCTGATCTTTGCTTTGTGGGAAGTTTATTTCATTACTTAATTCCATGTCTTTACATGTGCATGTGGTAAGAATGCTTAATATGAGATTTACCCTCTTAACAAATGTTCAGGTGCACTATATCATGTTTTTAACTATAGGCACTCTGTTGCATAGCATACCTCTGATACTGGTGTATCTTGAATAAAATTTCCCATTTCATCCTCCTCCCTGCCCCAAGTAACTACCATTCTATTCTCTGCTTTATGAGTTTGACTATTTTAGATTCCCCATATAAATGGAATCATACAGTGTTTGTCCTTCTGGAACTGGCTTATTACTTCATTTAGTCCCCAAGGTTCATCCATGTTGTCACATACTGCAGGATTTTCTCTTTTTCTAAGAATGAATAATATTCCACTGTAATGTGCACATACAACACCATGTTTCCTTTTTCCATTCATCTGTTGATGGACATTTGGGTTGATTGAATTGTTTCAATATCTTGGCTATTGTGAATAATGCTGTAGTGAACATGAGAGTGAAAATATGTTACTGAGATCCTGATTTCAATTCCTTTGGATAAATACCTAGAAGTCAGATTGTTGGATCATATGATAGTTCTATTTTTAATTTTTCCATAATGGCTGTACCAATTTACATTCCTAGCAGCAGCATGCCAGTGTTCTCCTTTCTCCATATACTCACCAATATTTGTTATCTCTTATTCTTTTGATAATAGGCAATCCTAACAGGTATGAGGTGATATCTAATTACAGTTTTGATTTGCACTTCCCTGATGATTAAGGGTGTTGAACAAGACCTTTTTTATATTCCTGTTGCTAATCTGTGTGTCTTCTTTGGAGAAATATCTATTCAAGTTCTTTTACCATTTTTAATTGGATTATTTGTTTTGTTTTTATACTTATGGAAGTATAGGAGTTTTTGTGTATTTTATATGTTATCCCCTTAACAGATTATAGCTTATAAAAATATTTTGTCCAATTCTGTAGGTTGCCTCTTCACTCTTTTGTTTCCTTTATTGTAGAGAAGCTTTTTAATCTGATGTAGTCCTACTTGTCTCTTTTTGCTTTTGTTTCTTGTGGTTTTAATCTCATATCTAAGAAGGCATTCCTAAAACCAATGTCAAGAAGCTTTTCCCATATGTTTTCTTCTAGGAGAGTTATAGCTTCATAAAAGTACAGAATTCATAATTGCTTATTTTGTATAACTTCTCTTTATTGATATTCTTTATTTGGTGAGACATCCTTGTCTCTCATAGGTGAAGTTGAAGGTCTTTGACATGTTTTGGGGGTCTAGCAAGCTACTGCAACCCTGCATATGGACATATTGTTGCCCAGATCTTCTTTTAAGGTTTGGTAGGCTTGTATTTATTCCAACAGGTGTAGCAGCCTCAGATACAATTGCTACTGATCATTTTTAAGAAACATTCTTGGGATATGTATTTTCCTTTGAGTTAGGTCAAATAAAGACCACACTGAGTAAATTGAGTTTTTCCAGGGAGCTGCAAAACAGGTTTAAACATAAAAGTCCTATCTATGCTCTCAAGAGTGGGACTGTTTGAAGGAGTTCCAATCTCAGTCTGTTCCCTCATGTGCGTACACCCAAAAGAAACATTTCTGTTTTTTGTAAATAAGATTAGAAATTATTAAATGTATACAGCTCTCACAATGCATTAAGGCTAATGTGTGATTTCCTCTTTGTTTTTGGAATAGAATTTGGATAGTTGTTTATGTTCTAAATTTCCTTACTGTGGGAATTTAGTATTGCCTTTCAATATAAAAGAATATTACTTTTTTACATATTTCTGTTCCAGATTTTTCCATTCTTTCTAACATATGTGTTTTGAGTTGTAGAATGAGAACTCTTGGACTTTTTAAACTGTAATTTATTTTGATTCTAATTCTATTATATGAAAGATAGGAAAAAATTTAAAGGAGAATGTTTTATAGGCATCTGAATTTTGTTATAGTACAGTCCAAAATAATGCTTTTATTTATTTATTTAGTGTCATTGTGGTGGAATCCTCAACACTCATCTCCTTGACATCCAAATTAAATGCATCTAGACAATTCATTAGCCAAAGGAATCAGAGGTAAATATCTATACATTTTATGCTAATAATTATCTGAGGAAAAATTCTGAGAAATTCATGTAAACTTGTTATATAATTCCATAACAGTTTTCATTTATTTGAAATATTCAATTTATATTATATATAATTAATATTATTCTTATTCTTTTATGTGGTACAGGTTTATGTGCATGAAAATTGAATAAATATGTACCTGATTAAATACAGTGGATTCTCATTAATCATGGTAGTTATGATCTATAAAATTGCTGCAAACATTCAATTGGTGAATACTGACCCATAATTCCTAGGAGAAATATGTAAACACAAGATTATAATTATATTGCAGAAAAGCCCCACACCTCATCCTGATAGATTCTACTTTCTTTACACAAAGAAAATGAGGTTCAGAAGTGTTAAATTACTTGCCTGAGGCTGTGCCACTAACAGGTGCCATAGAAGGGTGTCAAACCCTGTCCACTTGGCCCCAGAGCTGGAGCTCCTTACACTTCCGTACTGCCCCCATGGTCTCCATGCTCTGGTCATGTGCGTATGAGAACTAAAACAAAAAGGCCTGGTGTTACCTTGTTTGACCCCAGCTTGGATCTTGTGTGACCAGTGACTGGAACTTTTTGCCACTCTGCACATGTCTGTAGACAACTGTTAAAGTACCATGAGTATTGATTTGGGGGTTACAAATCAGTTTTAGCAAGGAGGTGAACTTGCAATTAATGGAATTCACAGATAATGAGGATTGACTGTATTTAAGCTTATTCTACCTACCTATTGTTTTATGAGGTCTCTACTTAGTTTAGAAAGAAACCTTGACTTCTGAATAAACAAGTAGAATTTTTTAAAGTTAGATTGCTTTATATTTCTCATATGTTAACTACAAGTGAACCTTCAACAACCAGATTTGAACTGTGTGAGTCCACTTATACACAGATTTTTAAAAATAAGTACTGTAAATGTATTTTATCTTCTTTATGATATTTTTAATTATATTTTCCTTTAGTTTACTTTATTGTAAGAATAGAGTATATAATCTATATGTATAACACGCACAAAATATGTGTCAATCAATTGTTTATGTTAATGGTAAGGCTTCTGGTCAATAGGCTATTAGTAAGTAAGTTTGGGGGGAGTCAAAAGTTATATGTGCATTTTCAACTGCATGGGGCAGGTGGGGAGTTTGGCATTCCCAACTACTCTACCATGTTGTTCAAGGGTCAACTGTATAGAATAGATATTTAAAGTGAAGTAGAATAAAAACAGCATTACCAAGATTAATGAAAGTCAGGTGGAAAGAAAATAGTACAGATGTCTGTTAATAAAATGCATGTTCCTTTGTCTCTGTAATGCTTGAGAACATCATTATCTTTCTTTTAGATACATAAACATCCCAGGAAGCAAGGATTTGGCTATGTTGATACCATAAGAATTCCCAAAGTTGTCAGAAATTATTAAAGTGATTGTACAGATCTTGTTTAGATTGAAATGGAGATTATTTTTCAGAAGTGACTTGTATTTAAGCTAACAATTTAAATTATAAGAATTGAATTTATTGCCCTGGCTGGTGTGGCTCAGTGGATTGAGTGCCGGCCGGCGAACCAAAGGTTCAATTCCCAGTCGGGGCACATGCCTGGGTTGCAGCCCAGGTCCCCAGTGGGGGCTACATGAAGGGCAGCCACACATTGATGTTTCTCTCCCTCTCTGTCTCCCTCCCTTCCCCTCTGTCTAAAAATAAATAAATAAAATCTTTAAAAAAAGAATTGAATTTATTATATATATTTCATTTCTTTATTGGTTTTTCTCTGAGAAAATTGTGAAAGGAAATTTCATTTTTGCCTTACTGTATTTGTTCTATTGAATGCTGTGTTCATGCCTAACTAAGGCATTCAGAATCTTCCTTTTACATTTTGCTGTTGTGAACAATAAAATATGTATTAATATATTAAGCTATAAGATAACATTTATAGATATAAGAATAGAGCATTGTGGGCATTTTATGTTAATTTCTTTGGAGTATGAAATACTAGTACTGCTAAAAAATACTTCAGTAAACATTTCTCCTAAATTTTAATCCTTTCAGTCCCTTGTTTCTTAATTAAGAAGCTGCTTTGTGGTCATAGATTTTACCTGAGTTTTCTGGAAATAATTCCTTCGTATTAATTGGAAGTGATTTACAGTATTACATATTAAACTACAGTCAGATCTCAAAGCGTTGCTATAGGTATCTGTGTGCACAAGTAACTCAAAGTTGGATCAGTTCAATGAACAGCAAAATTGAGTCTACTTTTACAATTTGGAAAGCAGTATAGAAATTCTGTATCCCAGATTTTAACATGATTTTTCTTCATATAATACTCTGAAATGGTTTTGATTGCACCCAAAATTCTAAAATTATTGAAGCCATCCACTGTCAAGCTGCAGGTAAATACATTTTCCTTTTATTGTTTTTCTCAAATCAAAAACAAACTAGGATGTATGAGTATGAAAGCATTTATAATTTAATTTTGGAAGGAAAGGAAATTTTGCAAATATTCAAAATAATTGCCAATTTAGGATGAGTACAGCTTAAGAAGTGTGCTTGCCATGGCCTCAAGCATTATTAATCATTTTTTCTCATACAGTCTCTTCCATTTGTATTTATAATACTGTACTTTCTTAGTTCTTCTCTCAAACCTTTCCATGAGAAAAGAAATAAAGATACAGAGATGCTGAGTGTGCATCAGGAAGGACATGATGCAACATAGAATACTCAGGCTTCTGCAGATTAATTCTCAAAGAATAACTCAGAGCCATTAGATTAAATGATTGAGGACTCACTCCTGTGCACCTCTGGGAATACTGTCACCCCCATCAAAGGCAAGGTTAGAAGTTACAAAGGCAAAGGCCACACAGTTTCTCCAGGAGAAAGGCTGGCCCTCGGGTTGTTTCAGGACTGGCATGGGCTGAATGGTGAGTCCCAAGTCTATATGCTGAGTTGAGATAGAATAGTCTCAAGTTCACACAAAAAAAGGCTATGTTTTTTTCCCTTGTTAATTCTGAAGAGATTTGTTAGGAACAGTTAATGTGGCTCCTTTTTCTGGGGTCCTGACTGCTCGCTGTATACAACCTCCAGGCTCCAGTATATGGAGAAGGGAAGTCTTTATGCACTTCCTCAAGGATCAGCTAAAATATGCAGAACTCCAACAATCAAATCTATTTTGTAGGCAGCAGAAAAGAGGAAGCAGAAGGCTAAGAGTGTGCCCTTTCTCTCTAGGGAAGGTTCCCAGAAACACCACACGGGTACTTGTGCTTGTAGCCCATTGGTCAAATCTTAATCAAGTGAATGAACCTAGCTAGAAGGAAGAGGGGGAAACCACCCCTCTCCACATACACATCAAAATAAAATGAGGGTTTTGTCAATGAGGGGGAAAGGACCAATGGTTATTGGGGTAGGCAAGCAATAATTTCCACCATGAGGAGACGCAGAAGAGACTCATTTTGTCTCCAGATAGCACAGAGTTATCTAACATTTTATCAATCTGGTGTCATTGGCATAATGATGTCTTTTGATCTTTCAGTGTCTTAATAAAATAACACTTAGTAATATTATACATCCTGTTTTTCTTAAAGCTCTCCCTAATGTTTGTCTTGCATAGATTTCCTGACACAAATAAAACTTAACAACATGCATTTTAAATTATGACCAGAATGAAAGTGTGCTGTAGTACCTCTGTGGTTAAATTCCATTTGTAATAGTCCATATAATAAGCATTACATTGTCTCAATAAAACTCTGGTCTGCTTTCTAGGTTTAATCAGGAAGGTAGCATAATAGAACAAGAACAAGTTTTTTTAAAAATCTCTTTAAACTAGCTGTATTTTTAGAGCTTTTTACAGATATCCCTATTTTTCTCTTTTTAGATACATGTTAATGTTATACTTCCCCAGTGATATTGAAGTTAATGTGTGGCCAAAGGCATGAATGTATGCCTTTTCCAAGTGGTATCATTAAGACCCAGTGAGCAATTATTCTTGTTCCTTTTCCCTGCCACAATTATTAGAGAAGCACATATACAAATGGAGCCTCCTTCATCAAGGATCTCTGAGTGTATCCTCTCCACCTAGGGTGGGCATATAGTATGAGCAAGAAGTGATCTATTGTACTGATCCACTGAGATGAGTTTCTTACTGCAGCATGACCTAGCTTATACTAACTAATACTCCTCCTCAGAGTCACTTCAGTCATTATCTCCCCAAATAATAAATTTTGTCATCAAATAAGCGATAAAGTTCTGACATTGTCTTTTAGGTGGCATAAAACAGCCTATAAAAAATTGAAAATTGCTCTATAAACTGCTCTTCTTAAGTAACAGACACATATAAAATAATACATTTGAAACCACATGGATGATTTTACTATGGAAACATGGTCCATGAGCATAAGCAAAGTAGTTAAAATGTTTTTATTCTAATTATATGCAAAGGATTATCAGAAAGAATCAGGAGAGGGGACTGATTTTAGCCATACCTTAAAATTGAATGACGGATCAGCAGTGCTCAGATATGAGCACTTTGTAAATAATTTCCAACAGTAATATGACTTGCTATTTTTCCAACAATATTGAATTATTTATCATTCAATAAATTCTTGCCAAGTGGCATCACAAGCACTATTCTTAGTACTGGAGAAATATAGGGATAAATAAGTCACACACAGATGTGGTCCTCAAAGAGCCAACCATCAAATAGAGAAGAAAAAAAATCTATACAAATGCAGGCGATTATTTGGGGAATACATTCAGTAGTATATGATATTTTATGTTCAGTATTTTATGTTCGGAGCTAATTGGCAAGGAATATCACCATCTAGATATTACAGGGATATTCATGGAAGAGAAGACATTTAAAGAGGATAATGAGATAAGAAGCACTTTTTTTCCTTGCATACACTGTACTGATGTCCCACTCTATCACATAGAATTTTAAATTCACAGATCCACTCTGTTTTTGTACCCCAGATTAGTGCTCCTTGCCTCAGAGACTTCTTAATTGCTTAGGGGCCAAAGAGGTACCAAAAGTAGCAAACATCCCATTTTTCCCGCACTCCAGAAGGCCATCAGGCCTTTTTCTTATTTAAAGAACTCCTGGACACATGGAGGATAGAGTGAATCTGAAAATCAGTCCTCTTATATTTTTTCCCATGATGCATAAAAACTTGACATGGACCAGGTAATTTGCTATTTGGTTAAAACACAGCCTAGAATGCTGGCCCAGGAATAGCTTCAGGAAGGCTTATAATAAAGATCTTTGTTCCTTACTGGGAAGAGCTTGAATAGGAAGTCATTCTTGGGGCTGATTTATTCATGCCATGAATAGAACCAGTTCAACATCATTTTGATCATTTTACTTGGAAAGAGCTGCATGTCACTACTGCAGAGGAGATTAGCAGAACATATTCCACTGTTTCAGCCACAGTATGTTGTATAATTTTAACTTCTTTCACTGCTATTTCTTCCTTAAGACCAAGGGTTTCAACATGCTCTTTCTGCCATGGCTTCAACAATAATCAGTGAGCATCTAGGAAAATGATAGCATGGACGAAGGTTCAGGGACTAATAAAAAGTAAATGTGTTGTTTTCTGGTGTGTCTTTGGAACATGCACGATACTGGTCTTGTATGCAAGTTGAATTTATCACAGAAAATCGAAACTCAAGAACACTGATTAGGTAAATTAGAAATTTCCTGAGCCAGATTATTTTATTAAATTATTTTTTGATGTCTCTCAGTGAACCATGATAATTGTTAGCTTTTTGAGGAAGTCGATACAATTCATAGGTCTGCATATTTTTTCTGTTAGTCTTTCCTATAAATAATACAGGTCACTCAATTTTTTTTTGGTTTGAAGTCTCCTTTGAGGATGAGGCATCTCTGATTTATTTAAAAGGCACTTTCATTAGCTGTTCTCTAACAAAATAGACAAAGGGAAGAAAAAGGAGATGAAGCCCAAATTGCTCTGCTTTTCTATTCACTATGGAAAAAAAAATGACTGAAAGCCTATAGATTGCAAGTATTGAACAAAGTGAGGTTTGGAGATCATCTGAGGATTTTAATCAGGCATTCTACCCAGAGCTCCATCATCAATGAGGTGCTAGTGGAGCTCTGCATTGAGAAATAAGCATTTGTTTTGTTGTTTTCTCCACTCTCTGTATAGTCTCTATTATAAATGCTGGCATATTCAACTATGATAGTCTTAAAGTATCTATCAGATACTCAAATTACACAAAATATTAAATGTTCTTACTTTAAAAAAATATATTACTCCCTGACCAGCGTGACTCAGTGGGTTTGGCATCATCCTGCAAAGCGAAAGGATCCTGGTTCCATTCCCTGTCAGGGCACATGCCTCAGCTGTGGTCCCTGGCTGGGGCACGTGAGAGAGGCGACCATTCCATGTTTCTCCCTCTCTCTCTCTTTCTACCTCCCTTTCCCTCTCTCTAAAAGTAAGTAAATGAAATATTTTACATTTAATCTGCTACTAAAATGCCTGTGAAGTAGAAGTAAAGCAAAGAATAATTATAAGATGTGGTAAATTCCCTTATTAAGAATGTGGTATAAAGAAAAGACAGCATTTGGAGAAATGGCCTGGATATTTGTAGAACTTTACTTGGAAATAGTCAATATATTTTTACAGTATTAACTTTAGGCAAAAGCAGATGACAAGTTGAGAAAACATGGGTCTTTTTTTTTGTATTCTCAGAAAAAATCAGGCAAGCAATATCTGAGAGTCCAAATACTTATTGATAGCTTGCTGAGCAAAGTAATCATGAATACTAAGAGAAGAGCAATTTGGGAGAAATTGATGGGTTCTGGAAGAATGGAGCCTTTCAAGGGAGAAGGTTGCTTCAGGCTGTGATCTGCTAATTAATTTTCAAAAATGCAAGCAGGGATTACCCAGCTGCCCATGTATTCTCCTACCTTTATTGAGAAAGAAGGAAATGAGGAAGGAATAAGCTGAAAGAAGAAAAATTTTCAAGACATCCAGTTCTAGAACTTTTGTAGAGAGTACCTACGTAGCTCTCAGTTGAGATTAGCAACTTTTAAGTCTCAGAATTTGGGTTTTTGTTATTATCATTGCATTTGAAAGTAATAAGTAATTGTTTTTACCAGGTTTTTAAAAATAGTGGTGGGAATATGGATGGCCATTATTTTCCTTTTTGTATTTTCCTTAATTTAAAATTTCTAGAACAATATAAACATAAAAAGGAGACATGAAAGAAATGTGTGGTTTTGCATATCATACTGTAGATTGCCGTGGTTTTAGGGGTCTGTAAGATTAAATTAAAATAAATAATTGTTTTTGAGTTTTATCTATGTTGTTGATGTTGTTTTTCTCTTCCCTTGTGCTCGTGATGCTGGGAGTAGCTATGAAGATGATACTTCAGAAGACTATTATCGAGCCCCCAAAATCTTAAAAACCTGTGAGTACCCCAAAGATTGGGTTGGCCAAAAAGTCTGTTTAGTTTTTTCCATAAAAGGAAAGATACACTTTTCATTTTCACCAATAATTGCATTAATTTGGATATTTTGTGTATGTCAGCTATGTCCCATGTTGTAGAATGTTGATTGTTGTCAATTAATGTCTCAATTTGATTGCTGTCAACTTCAACCTGTCTACCTGACTGTGGAGCATTGTACAGTGAGAAATCTCCAGCACAAAACTTCACAAACCACTTTTGACACATTCATTCAGTCACAGCATCATCTCCATATACTGCACAATTTTTTTTGCATTTCAGTTGTGTTTTACCTGTCTTGAAATAATAAAGTATAATATGCCAAAAATGTTGAATATTTTGTTCCATCTTCAATATTAAAATGGCTACACAAAATTCACCAATTTTGATGTTGTTTTCAAATGCACATTGACATGACATGTGTCACAATACAATCTGACAAAATTGTTTCAGATGAAGTCAAAGACAACTAAGCACTACTAGAGCCATCTTACGGTCGGGGGGAACAAACAGGCTTTTTGGCCAACCCCATAAAAACCATTTTCGTGTATTATTTTTCTGTATAGAGCATACTGTGTGGTGAAACTATAGACAGAATGGCAAACCTTGGGGATTGAAAGCAGAATGGGAGGCCGTAGTGTTGGTGCTCAGCCTTTTTATGACCCTTTGGAGAAATCTGTCCTGTCTTTCCTTCCCCTCTGGATCTTAGTTTCCTTTCCTGTACAATAAATGTATTTAGATAAATGTTATTTAGGTTTCTTTTGGCTTATTCTGAACTACTGAAAGCTATTTAGGGGACAAGCGTCATCATCATGTTTAAAATTAAAGGAACACATATTACATTGCTTTGTGAAATAGATAATAGATTTAGAAAATGTGGATAGAATCATGGCCAGGAAAACGGATATAGGAATGTCTGGTTCTCTATCACTACAGATACATCACCCCAAATATAGTGGCATTAAATGATAAAAATGTAATGTGATTAGTATCTCTCACACTTGTGAGAATGGCCTCAGCTAGGTGAACTTGGAGTTGCAGCCAGATCATGCCTGGGGCTTGAGTCATTCCAAAAGCTGCTTCACTCACATGTCTGATGATTAATGCCTTTCATCTGGGATCAGGTGGAGCTATTGGCCTGGACATCTACATGTGGCCTCTCCACGTGGCCTAGACTCTTCCCAGGATAACAACTTGATTCTAAAAGCAAGCAAACCAAGAAAGAGAGATCATTAAGAAGTTGTGTTACCTTTTCTGACCTGTGTCAGTAGTCACACCACTTGGCTTTTGCTACTTTCTTGCATACTGTTCATTAGGATCAAATCACTAAGACTGACCTACAGTTTCACCACATTCAAGGCAGTGTTGAACAATTTGTGGACATTTTGAAAACTAACTGTTCAATTTGCCCATTACTGCCTGTAATGCAAACCATTACATAGTCCCCCAAAATTTTAAAGACTCTTTGATGACTGCTTCTCTGTTTATAGGTGTATATCAAGTTAATTTTAAAGACTAATGAAGTTCCCCTTTCAAGAAATTATTTATTAAGACATCTTTAATAGTGCATCACAATTATACTTTTTTTTGTTATACCAAGCTTGAGCTAGGATCACCAGCACTGTTATTAACAAATGTATGTATTATCTTCTGAATCTGAGTGCTAATGCTTTGAACATTTTGTTTTTTATCCCAAAACTTTAACATGAATTGAAACAGCTACTTTATTGGAACAGCACTTATACAAAGATATGTAAACAAACTCTGCTTTTTGATTTCACAGCAATTAGGTCCAGTTTTGTCAGAGAGTTCTTCTGCTCCCCAACTATCCACCTAAGAGTGAAAGAGCCTTCCAGATTGGTGCTCTCCTTTGTTCCCTTTGACATGCAGAAACGCTACTGTGTCATCATTCTCAGCAATAGGGAGGTGAGAACAAAACTGTGCTGTGTGCTTTCATCTTGGCCTGGCCCTTTAAGAGAATGACTACTACAGGTATTTGTTGGCAGTTGAAGACTTTAGAAATGAAGATAGCAATTTCAGCCCTCTGGTAGCTAAACAAAGAGTTTATTGTCAGGAATAAGCAGCATTACACTAGTTGTGGGTACATTTTATAATGACTGCATAAGGAAGTTCCTCGGAAGCAAAGTGGAGGCATACTTCACCTTGTTGTGGCCCTATCTGTATTAATCTATGGTTACATAACAAATTACCAAACACTGAGAGGCTTAAAATTACACACACATTATGTCACATGCTTTCTACTTTTATTTATTTATTTTTAGAGAGAAGGGAAGGGAGGGAGAAAGAAAAGGAGAAAAACATTGATGTGTAAGAGAAACATCGACTGGTTGCCTCTTGTATGTGCCCCAACCCAGGACTGAACCCACAACCCAGGCATGTGCCCTGACTTGGAATCAAACCGGTGACCTTTTGGTTTGTGGGATGATGCCCAGCCAACTAAGCAATACAGGTCAAGACATTATGTTACATTTTTAATGGGTCAGATGTCCAGACATGACTGAGATGGGCCCTTTGCTTCAGGCCTATCTAGTTTTCAGTACGGGCCAGTGCTGGGTTCTCCAAGAGATTCATTTGAGAAAGGAGCTGCTCCCAACTTCTCCCAAGTTGTTGGCAGAATTAATTTCCTAGTGGATTAGGGATCCATGTGTCTTGTTTCTTTTAAGGCAATGAAGGAGAGAGACCAAGAGACAAAAAGGAGGAAATGAAGAGTGGAGATAGGTAGAGAGAGAGAGAGAGAGAGAGAGAGAGAGAGAGAGAGACACTGAGGAGGGACAGATTGTCTATAGAGGAAAAGTTTGTGGCATTATCCCTTTCCAGAAAGACACTGTAATATGTTAACCTGAGGAAGGAATTTATAGCACCCAGGATATAGCCCTAAATGCATTAATTATGTGTCAATTATGCAATGTTTTGAATGTATGTAAAATGAAATAGTAATTGGAAAGTGATATAGGATCATTTACATGTGAAATACAATATAGCCTGTGAAATATGTAAAATGTAGTCTAATTTTATAGTTAAAATTCTCATTTAGAAAAAAATTCTTTTATAGTAATGCTAAATATTGTTTTTTAATTTCCTTTAAAGGAGCTCAAGATCTAACTAAATTCTTCTATATAAAAATTTGTGAAAAATAGTCGTTTGGTCAAATGTTTCACAATCCCTTTTTATATCAATTTATAATATACCATTAGAAAAATGCTAGGGTTAATTCTCAATAATCTATAAGGAAGTTGATTTTATCCCTTAAATAAACTATTGAAATATTAATATTTGGTTCCATAAATTTTATCTAAATTAATCGAAATAGAATTACACTTGGCATCTCCATTTACTGAAACACGACTTTTGATTATATGTAATTTGTCCTTGTTAGAAAAAATATTAAGAAAAATAATCATAAAGTTGTATGGCTATCAATTGAGAAATAATGCCCTTAATGTAAAGAATTGCACTGAATTATAATTACTTATGTGGAGAAAACACATCTATTAATTTACACATTCAATTTTATTGCTAATTATATTGAAAAATGCAATTACACGCTTAAATAGATAATCAAATATCCAAGTCCACCTAGTTAGCTCCTGTTCTTATTAAATGTGTGATAACTGCTTTGCTATTTATTAAGAACCACCTGTTAAAAACTGTGAAGTAATTAGGCCTCAGTTTGATAGCTTTCCATGTGTAAAACAGAAACATTTCTACTAACACTGCTGTCAAGGAAAAGCCATTTGTTTCACTTTGGCTGGTTTATTTAAACTTTCAAATAAAAGAAAATGAAATGAGTTATGTAACAGCTGTTTGAAAGTAGAAGTGGTTTTATAAGATTTCCCACCAGTGTCCCTCAAATTTCTTGCCTTAGGGGAAAATCTAAAAATTCATGCTATCGAATGCCCAAAATCCAAAGAAATGGGTGCTGTGTGTGGATGGGGCAGATTAAATCATGAGAAATTGTCCCTGAGAAATTGTGTCTGCTGCAAGGAGTTAGTAGGCCCCCATACAAGGCACACATACACTGGAAAGCACAAAGAAATGTCTTGACGCATGTGGACATCTGCTCTGTGTAGTCCTAGGTTCCCAAATAGGAAACCACGTGGTATTATAGCTGGGATCTTCTGTGTGAGAGAGTCAGTGGCATCGAACAGGGATCCTTGACATGGGGCCTGGGATAAGAGTGAGTTCCACTTGTAGCCACTTGCTGTGTCCTAAGCAACCCTGACCCACCAATCATGAGTCTTTGTATTCACCCAAACCAGACTCCTCTCTCCCCTGGTAGATTTATCTTCCTGTCCTTTGTTGTCCTTTTGTATCTACAAAAATTGGTCAGAACAAATTGAAACCAATGTCCAGGTACTGCTGACTTGAGAAAGTAGAATGGGAGTCAGCATCTCTGAGCAACTTATGAAAATTGGTCCAGTCCCACACCAGGGCCCCACGCCCCAAAGAGAGACCAGTTATTAATACATTGTATGGCACTCTGGCCGTTTCCTTTATGTTTATGTAGGCAAGTTGAACCACTCATCTGACTTTTTGCACTATCACTCATTTCATTCTCCCTGAGTCTATTATGTATTTTGTTAAATATTCTACAATTAATTTGCAACTTTCTCCAATCATAATTAATGTACATACTTTAATAATTATAATTCCTGCTTATTTTATGGAATGCAAAGATAAAAACATTGCATTATATTATGCTACAATCTTTATGTAATTTCACACTTACGCAAACTAACTTCAGTTTTATGAAAGTTCTTTCTTTTTTTTTTTTTAAGATTTTATCTATTTATTTTCAGAGAGGGAAGGGGGTGGGGAGAGAGAGAGAGAGAGAGAGAGGGAGAGAGAGAGAGAGCGAGAAACATCAATGTGCGGTTGCTGGGGGTTCTGGCCTGCAACCCAGGAATGTACCCTGGCTGGGAATCGAACCTGGGACACTTTGGTTCCCAGCCCGCGCTCAATCCACTGAGCTATGCCAGCCAGGGCTATGAAAGTTATTTCTATAGCTCGGGGGAACTGAGTATTATTTGAGAGTGGTTTATATTATTTTTCAAGCTTTTTTTAACAGTAAAACATATTTCATTTGCTCTCGACAGGAAGCCTTTGCAAGACCTAATCTCTCCTTGTATATACATAGTGTCCTAATTAGCCGAAAATGTCCACTTCTGTAACATAGCCAGATGGCTTGTGACCATTTCTCAAATAGAGGGAATAGTGCATTTCTATATGATAGAAGAGCAGAGACAATTGGCTAATACAGGAATATGGTCAAGAAGGATGAGTCAAAATTTGCCAGTAGCCCTGGCTAGTATGGCTCAGTGGATTGAGTGTCAGGCTGTGAACCAAAGGGTCTCTGGTTCAATTCCCAGTCAGGGCACATGCCTAGGTTGCGGTCCAGGCCCCCAGTAGGGGGCATGTGAGAGGTAACCACACATTAATGTTTCTCTCCCTCTCTTTCTCCCTCCCTTTCCCTCTCTCTAGAAATAAATAAATAAAATCTTAAAAAATATTATTAAAAAAATGTGTCAGTAAAACAGAGTTTGGGCTGGGGAGAAGTGTGCTCAGAAAAGTTGAAAAAGAATGTAAGGCAAAACAGCTAGGCATGAAATTTGTGGACATTTGAATTGCCATTTCTGAGAATTGTTTGTTAGACATGAGAGAAAATTGGTTGGATGTATAAGTCAGATTGATAAAGAAGGAGGAGATCAGTGAATTTAAAATTGAGTAACTTATCATTTTTAAAAGTAAGAAAGTATTGAGCACAAGTATGGTCTGATTTCATCTTTGATTTAGAAAGCACCTCTGGAGTCAAAGGGATCTTAAAATACAGATCAATTTTTAAAAAAAATTTAAATATGTTCATTGATTTTAGAGAGAGAGGAGTAATGGAGGAGAGAGAGGGAGTGAGAGAGAGAGGGAAACATTGATGTGAGAAAGAAACATTGATTGGTTGCCTCCCATACGTGCCTCTGTTGGGGAATGAACCCACAACCTAGGTATATGCCCTGGTTGGGAATTGAACCTCCAACCTTTTGTGTATAGGATGACACTCCAACCAACTGAGCCACATCATCCCAAGGCATACATATCAATCTTAATGACAATTTGAGTGATGTTCATAGTTGAAAGGAAGCACATTTTCATTTTCTTGCTGAGAAAATTGGTGGCAAAAATTTTAATAGAAACTGTTTTTGAAAAATATGGTAATAAAAGAGAAGAGAGATTGTTAATTTTCATCACCACAATGATTTCTAGAGTCTAGCCCAGCTTCCTATTATTGAATGAAGTATTTTTCCATAACATATTTTATATTTTAATTAAAAAATCAATTCAGCTGGGGCTGGTGTGGCCCAGTGGACTGAGCTCTGGCCTGCGAACCAAAGAGTTGTTGGTTCGATTCCCAGTCAGGGCACATGCCTGGGTTGCTAGCCAGGTCCTCAGTAGGGGGTACAAGAGGCAACTACACATTGATGCTTCTCTCCCTCTCCTTCTCCCTCCCTTTACCCCTCTCTAAAAATAAACAAATAAAAAATTAAAAATTCAGTTCATATTTTATGCCATTTAAATATATGTTGCCTTCTTAATATGTCTGCAGAATAATCTGTCAGGCATGCAATTAAGATTTTGTTAAAATTGTGTTATGAAAGTTAAACTTTTAAGTGCAGGCATATAAATCTTTTTATACTTCTTATCCTTACTGAGCCTCCTAGCTCAATCATTCAATGATAAATAGTATTTTAAAAGAACAGTGATTATTCTTACTGGTCAGTTTCATATTATAATTATGGCAGAGTCAAATAGTAATATACCATGATTAATGATCCCTCTCTAGTGTACAGAATTTAACATTTTAGAATTTTAGCTTAGCTCTCATGTGCCAGTTAAGCTATCAAAGTTATATAATTTTGTTCAGCCAATTCAAATATAAATTACAAAACCTAGTAAGATCTAGGTCCAAGATAAAAATGTAAGTAGAATTTAAGACCTATGTAAAAATGGGGATTTTCTGTCTAGAAATGCTTAATTTTTTTTTTAAAGATTGAGGTTATTTGTATCTGGAGGGCATCCATGACCTATGTAAAGTTACCCAGCTAATTAGTGGCAGAGCTGGAATTCAAACTTTCCTTCCAATTCAGTTTGTGTGTTCCTCCTTTCTGGGTCATTAGCAGCTGGTCTTCTAATGTTGCACGTAACTGTGTTATCTGAGGACTTCATCTAACTAGATACAAAAGAAGAACAAAATACATTTTGTGAGGGTTTATATAATTGGTCATGGGTTGTGGTATCTTCCTGGAAAATATAATAATATAAATCCAACTAAACATGCCAACTGGTAAATATCAATTAAGAGCAGAAAGGAAAGGTAGTTGGTGACTATTAGAATAGCTGTTAGATGTCAGATAATTTTTTTTCTCTTGCCACAGCCTTCAGACTTGGAAAATAAGGGGCTTTTCAACTTTAAAAGAGTTCTTTGTTGCATTAGTATTTCTTCTTTATTCTGATTTTATTTCACAAAATGTAGAGGGAACTAATTAAAAAATACTACAGATTATATTCCTGAATAATTTTCTGACACAGGCAAAACATGCAACATTTTTAATTGTTTTTTTTTCAAAGATTTTATTTATTTATTTTTAGACAGAGAGGGAGGGAGAGAGGGAGGGAGAAAGAGAAGGAGAGAAACAGTAATGTGTGGTTGCCTCTTGAGTGCCCCTACTGGGGACCTGGCCAATAAACCAGGCATGTGCCCTAGACTGGAAATTGAACTGGTGACCTTTTGGTTCACAGGTCGTATTCAATCCACTGAGCTACACCAGCTAGAGCATAAGATTTTTTTTTAAATAAAAAGAATATATTGAAAGTAAACAAGTTAAACAAAATAAGTTTTGACAAATGCTAATATATTGTCTGTGTAATATGTGGATTTAAGTGGAATTGAATGGACTCTTAGTTACTGATATTTCCATTGGCTAGTCAAAGGCTAGGAAGCCGTTTATAATTTATATTTAAGAAAAATATTCTGGCAAATAGCAGTTTGTTCCTTTTGTATCAACTCCAATGGGTTGGTATTCATTTTCATGGCATAGACAAGCTATAGATCAGGTTTCATTCAGGTGCAAATTTACAAAAACATGCAATTACGATAACTATAACTCCCTGAGTCTTATTTCTTATATTATATTTTGTGTAAAACAACTGATTTTTAAATAAAAATAAGGGTGAGAAAAAGGGAAAAATATAAGTAAATATTAATATATTGTTTTCTCAGTCTCTGTTGAATTTATGCACATGTACTCTTCTTGAATGATGATTGGAAACTGTACATCAATATTAACCACTCAGGTCAAATACACATGAAATCACAACACAATTCAGATTGCTAGCCTGGGTTCATGTTTAGAAAATACATAGCTATTTAGGAAAAATTATGATGTGAAAATTATATACAATATACTAATTATTACCAGGAGTGCACAGATTTAAATGCTGAACAATCTAAAACATTCAGAATTTTCCAAATTTCATCAGCATGAACTGAAAGTAATTATGGGTCATAATTAATAAAATTCTATGGAACATTATCATGTAAAAGCAGATGAGATTAATTTTATTTTAAATAAATCTCAGTTGGAGGGATAATGAACTATAAATAAATTGACCTTACAATCAGAAATTATTATTTTTTGTTTCCAGATTAATTTTCAATTTTTGTCATTTCATTTATCTAAGACAGTCACAATATTTTAGAATACGTATTTTTACTATGTGACAAATTTATACTATTTACATATATTGCTTACTCAAAGTTATCTTTGGAGTAGTCTCTCAAGCATATGGTTAATATTGTTTTAAGACTGTGGTATAGTTCAAACTAGTTACAACTCCAGCTTTAAATCTAGGTTTGTTTTCTTTTGCTTTCTCAGTGGTTAGTTGCATGCCTCTCACAAGTGCATACTGGTTGGTACTAGATTCTCCATTGTGTGGTTTAAACATAAATTTGCCTGTCCTTATTTTCATTGATTCTCCAGTCAGAACTGTATTTTCCCAATATCCTCAGGTGATTCATATGCACTTGAATGTTTGGGGAGCCTGCTCTCCAAAAATAGTCCCACTCCATTTAAGCAGATCCCTTACATGCCTGGTCAGTGCCAAGCAAAGACTTAGGTTCCTAATATGTGTCACCTCATGTAGCCCTCAATACATGTCTAGTTTGTGTCATTCTACTTCTCGAGGCATAAGCATTTTTTAAAGACTATTTATTATGGAAATATAAAATACACACAGTTGTAGAAATAAAGTAACAGTAAGTCCCCGAGGTACCCTTTGCTCAGCTTCAACAGTGTGTGGCCAAGTATGTTTCATGATTATAATGAAGCAAATCTCAGTCATCACATCATCTTACCCACAGATAATTCAGTAATTGTCTTAACAACAACAAAAATTTGACAAAACCATGATACCATTACTGCTAAAAATATTGTCATTTTTCCTTAATAAAATCAACTATCCAAGCATTGTTCATATTTCCCTGACTGTCTCATGATCATTTGTATTTTTTACATCATTGTACTTTGAATTTCTTTATTTGAATTGTACGGGAGGAGAAATAATTTTTCTTGTACCTTTCTGAGTTCTTGGCTGAGAACTCCCACCCATGTTAAAAAATTAACAGGTGAAAAACAACAGAAGTTTATTAACATGTATACCTCATGTATACATGGGAGATACCCAGGAAAACTGAGTAACTCCCCAAGGTAGCTTAGAATTGAAGCTTAAATACCATCTTATTAAAGAAAGTAGCGAGGGGATGTCGGCCTCTTAGCAAAGTAAATGATTTTTAGGAAAGATTATAGAATAATATATGGGAGATATGATAGTCTGTGACCAAGTTTGTCTGGATAGTACTGACTTCTAGTCTCTTCTCCTGTGAAAAGAGTCAGTCTTCTTTGGTTGATGAAACTCCCAGGGAAGGGATTTATGACTATTGCATTCCTGTTGGAGGACCTGTCTCTAAGGCAGATAAAGAGGAATTCAGAAAAAGTCTTTCCCTGAATTTTCCTTTTTTCACATGCCTACAGCTCAAAAGCACCAACATACCAGAGTGGCATATTTGCGGTGGCCCGAACTCCTATAATCACATTTTGAGGTGACATGTTCTGCTACCCTTCAGAATCAAGATCTAAATAATATTCATCCATTGTGATTGTGTGATATATCTCTTAAGGCTTTCTCTCTCCCCTTTCTTTTCATTTAATCTCTAGGTCCCTAAAATGAAGGAATATTGTCCATCCCATTTTACTAATTGCTCCAGAACTCAGAGCATTAGTAAACTTGCCTCAGGCTTAGTAGCTGATAAGTGGCAGTGCCAGGTTTAGAAGTAGGCTTGTCCACCTCTTTTCATCTTTCTCTGTATCACGCTGCTGCCTTTGCATTGACCCCACTTTTGTTTTCACTCTCTCCATGTAGACTTTTGTACTTTTTACCTAATTACTTATTTATCTAAAGGATCTTAAGACTATCACTGCCTGTTTTGAAATCCTGTACTTTATTTTTTTTAATTACATTTTTGGGGGTGACATAGGTTAATAACAATATATAAATTTCACATGTATAATTCAATAATACACCATCTGTATATTCCATTGTGTGCTCACCACCCAGTCTAGTCTCCTTCCATTACCTCGTATTTGATTCCATTTATCCTTTTGCCAACCACTGTCTTCTCTGGTAACCCCAATTCTGTTGCCTGTGTCTATGACTTTGTTATGTCTGTTTGTTGCTTTCTGTTTTCTATCTCACATGTGAGTGAAATCACATGGTTCTTTTCATCTGACTGACTTCTCTTTGCATGATACTCTCAGGATCCACCCATGTTGTCACAAATGGCAGTATTTCATCCTCTCTTGCAGCTGAGTAGTATTCTATTCTATACTACTCAGTTTTCTTTCTGTAGCACATTTTCTTTATCCAGTCATCCATCAAATGACACTTAGAAAACCTGTACTTTAAAATATAGACTCTTGGGGACTGAAGATACCCTGCAAAAATGATGTTGCCTCTCCCCGACAATAAATTACACATTGAAGGAAAAACATTCTTGCTTGTTTGACCATTTATTTGTTTTAAGATAGCAGTCTACAATGGATATTTGTACTTATAAAGATCAGCCGTTGTCAGTGTCATCCTGAGATGTTCTTAAGTCACCTCTGTGTTCTGCTGCATACAGAGTTTCTCTTGTACTAGGTGGCCTATATTTCAGCCTTACCCTTTTCCATGCATTGAGGGCATATATGGCTTAAAAATACACAGTGCAATGATGTTTTTATAACATGCAGATTTTTTCTTGCAGCTGATAGATTTATCCTAATTTCTGAGCTTTTTGAATTTAATATTATTGTGTGGTTGTGTTTTAGATTGGAGAATTAATATACGCTGTGGAAGGAAGAGTTACAGTCCCATTGCCTTCCCGCCTACCTATAAGGACTGCCTCACTTTTACAGAGTAATAAGTACAAATACCCTCCAGAAGGTAGAGTATGTGTATGTTTTATGTAATTTATTATGTTGAAGGATGGGACTGCTTTTCATACAGTTACCTAAGCATCCTCATAGCAAGTTTTTTCATTAATAATTACATTGTAACTTTATGATACCAGTCATATAATAGTCTAGTTTAAAGTGTAAGATTGTTAGTGAAAGAAAATGACAGTTCATGCCAGTCCTTGACTGATGTCTTTCTTTACATTTATTTCTAGCCCCACCCTACCACCTTCTAATCACTTTTAGGAGCACAGTGGTTACTGAATTTTTGATCAAGTTGATGACATTTCTATGAAAGAACCTTTAACTGGATCTCTTTTTACAGAGTACCAAGAAGATATCTTTAATTCCTGAAGACATATCCCTGAATTACTGAATTAGTAGTACTAGGAATGTGTCACCAGTTTACTTTTACTGTGTTTAAGGAAGGCCACGGCTGCAGTTTTATATTTCAGACCCCCAAATCCTTTCTGAATGATAATGTCAAAGGTATACATGGTCATTGAAGTCACAAATGTTTTTGCTTCCCCTAGATTTTAATGGGGAAGATTCAGTTCTGTATTTGAAATGCAAACCCAGAGAAACAATGGATGTGGAGCTCATATTACCACTGACTAATGAGGCCAAGGAAAAGGCATTGGCCTTCGCTGCACAGAGGCAGATGTCTGACGTAGAGTACCAGCGAAGGCTGCTCACCGGCACTCTGGAGAGCAGTAGCATCCGTGTGGCCATCGCCCTCCTGGGGCTGACCAGGGTTGAGGTGAGAGTGGACAGATGATAGACTTCAGTTATTCTCTCTTTAAAAATTACAGAGCTGTTACTTAATCAGAGCATTTACACATAGAGAGAAAAAAAACCAGGATGTATGCTGGTTTTCCCCAAAAAGACAGATCAGTAGCTTTTTTTCTTTCTTACCTCATTAAAAAATCAATTTGACAGAAAGCATTCAACTAAGATTTGCACTACTACTACTTTTAGCAGTAATAACTAAATTAGTAGTATCTATGCATACTACTAATTTTAGGCATTGCACTATAGTCGCTTAATTCATAGTTGTCTTTGCTTCTGGCTGCACATTAGAATGCTAATCTAGAAAACTTAAAATAATATGAATGCCCAGGCATCATTCCAGAATAATTAAATACAGATCTCTGGAAGAGAGTGAGTGGGCGCATATTCTACAAGTTGCCCAGGGTATTTCTGTTGTGTACCTACAGAGGATCATTCCCTGGGATCAGATAACCGGGCTGAGAATTTAGACATTAACCCTGCCTACCCATGTGACTGTGGGCTGGTTACTTAAAAATCATCAAACTTTGATTTTTATATTCTTACTCTAGAGATATTGCTAATTATGGGAAATAAGTGAGATAATTATAGAAAATGCTTACCATAATACCTGGTATATAATACCCGCATTCTCTATATATGGCATTGTTGTTATTATTATTACTACCATTACTGTAGACTCTGTTATTATACCTTGAACTCTATTTTATAATGGAAATAAAATACATTCTAGTCACCACAGAGCTGTCAAAGTGAGTCTTCTAAATTGTGAACCTGTTCATGTTGCTCCTCTACTGCTTTGCCAGTTCACGTCAAAATAAAAACCAAGCTCTTATAATGGTCTTCAGGACCCTCCTGGTCAGTCCCACCTCTTTTCCTGATCTCAACATTTCCTCTGGAGCCCATTCACTCAGCCATCCCCTCAGCACAGGTCTCCTTGCTGTTCTTCAAATGGCCAAGGTATGCTCCCCATGGCCCATGAGCACTCCCTATGCTACTTTTTTCTTGGCATTCGAGGCTGAGTCCTTCATTTAATGCAGATCTGCTTGAATTCTATCCATGAGATTGTGCTTTATCAACTGACATTTTTTAAAAAGCATCACTTACCACTACAGGGCACTCTCCAAATCATAAATTTCCCTCAGTTTTCATTTTGGATAGAATTTATCACCTGAGAATTTGTGACAAGATATTTGTTTAGTTAACTCTCGTATCACCAGTGCCTAGAAAAGTGTGTGCCCTGCCAAAAGTGGTCACAGAATCTTTGTTCAATGAAAGAATAAATAATGTGTTTTCATCCTTGTTTAAGAATGACCCTCATATACATATATTAGAACAAAATACTCAGCATTGTAGAGATGATTTTTTTGTCAGAATGCTATAATCAATGCAGCCCTAATCATAGATTTTAAACAGTAATTCTTACATTATGGATGAGCAGGATTTTAAAGTTCTGCTTAGCTCAGAAATATCAAGGCCTAAGGCTGTGATACCCTCTGGACTGACCCACCAACACTGTGTATCTAAGAAGCTGATGGTTCTCTTCAGCTCATACCAAAATGCTTCCTTCTGCTATAGAACAGTGAATCTGGAAGGTTTGGTACAAGTTTTAGGACACTATTACAATAAGAATTTTCAATATGTGGCCTTTTCAAATTTTAAGCCTATCGAATTGCAGGTGCACTCTCTTTTTCTTTTTCTTTTTTTAAAGATTTTATTTATTTAGCCTTGGCTGGCGTAGTTCAGTGGATTGAGCGTGGGCTGGGAACCAAAGTGTCCCAGGTTTGATTCCCAGCCAGGGTACATGCCTGGGTTGCAGGCCATAACCCCCAGCAACCGCACATTGATGTTTCTCTCTATCTCCCTCCCTTCCCTCTCTAAAAATAAATAAGTAAAATCTTAAAAAAAAAAAGAACCACTTTGTTTTAAAAAAAATATTTAATTTATTTATTTTTAGAGAGGGAAGGAAAGGAGAAAGAGAGAGAGAGAAACATCAATGTGCGGTTGCTGGGGGTCATGGCCTGCAACCCAGGCATGTACCCTGATTGGGAATCGAACCTGCGACACTTTGGTTCGCAGCCCACGCTCAACCCACTGAGCTAAGCCAGCCAGGGCTCTTTTTTTTTTAAAATCAATTTTCTTCATTCTTACCTCATGTCTAAGCATTTTATTTAAATGAAAAAATGCTTGAAGGAGATGGATTTTGCCCATAAATCTTCTTTCTGTTATTTATGCATGTATATCATTCCTGTCTTTCTCTTTCTCTCTCTTCTTTTAGCTTTCTCCCTGCAACCCAGCACACCTTTTGTTTTAATTATTTTATTTATCAAATCGTGTTGTGTACAAGATTTATTTTTATATGTACCCATTTCTCTAGGATGTGAATGCCTAGAAATCGAAAAACTTTCGTTACACATTTTTTGTTTACCCTGTACTGACTTGTGTGTGAGAGGTACTGTCATTGTCACATTGAATTGAACATGGGCCTGAACAAAGGGACGCCACTTTAAACCTTAAGTCTTCATTGTACATAGGCTGATTCCATCCAGGTTGCCTCATAGCTGGATTTTTCAGAGTTGATCACTTATCCTTGTTTCCTTCTCTCATTCGCAGGATGAATATCTTTACATGTGCACTTCTCTGAATGTATTGGTAGGGATAGTAACGATAATATTTTATGAGTAACCTTTGTTTTTTTAAAGATTTTTAAAATTGATGTTTAGAGAGGGTAAAGAAGGGAGAGAGGGAGAGAGACATCAACATGCGGTTGCCTCTAGCATACCCCTTACTGGGCACCTGGCCCAAAACCCAGGCATGTGCCCTGACTGGGAATCGAACCAACAATCCTTTGGTTCTCAGGCCGGCACTCAAACCACTGAGCCACACCAACTAGGGCTAACTTTTGTTCTTTCTTTTTTAATTAAATATGAAATGTTTTAAGTGGTCTCTACAATTTTAAATTGAAAGTTCTTTCCCCTGAAGATTGCTTTTTTCATTGAATTTTCTGAAGACCATGCATTTTTTTTTTGTTTCAGCAGAGACTCTAAGTGTAGAAAATAGCAAAGGATTGAATGTGTTAATTTAAGAAAACCAGCAGAACTTACAGCACATCTTATAGTGCTTACATAAATCTAGTCATAAATGTTTCTTTTCAAGTCAAGTGCACTCTTGAAATACAATAATGCTAATGGTTTTTTTTTGCAGCAGAACAGTAAAGATACATTTTAAAATACTCTCACCTTTTTTTCCAAAAAGCTTCTATGTGCGCTTTTGAAATTATTTTGATGACCCCATGAAGACATTTACAGCAGATAGGATTGCACTTATAATACAAAAAATGGAATGAGTGAGGTATAAAAAGACCTAAGTTGCTCTCAGTGACTGGGCAGAGATTACAACCCAGATCAGGGCAGAGACATTACTGTATTTTAAAGCTGGGAAACAAATCAAAGGCATTCAGAGACACATCATCCAACCTCTTATTCTTACAGACCAGAAAACCAAGAGCCCAAAATAGTAAGATAGTGCCTTAAGTTCACACCAGTGATTTGTGACAGAATAAAAATGGGTCCAGGTTTTCACTTCTCAGTCCACTACTCTTCTCCTTGCCCTGTATAGCCTCCAGATCAGGTCTTCGCTTCTTGATGTACTGACATGAACTCATACAATGCAATAAATGAAGGTCTAGAATGTTCTGCTATAGCATAAAATAACTGCATAATGAAATCTAAAATCAACCTTGACATATATTTGTTCAAAACTAAATCTAATTGATTATATGTAGAAAACTGACATGTATTACACAACAATGTGAAATCTGAATTTTGAAATATTGATAGGGTAATAGCCATATGATATCTATATACTGTAAGACAAGGTTCCCCTACTTCCAGGCCACAGATCAGTACCTGTTAGTAACTTGTCCAGCTAATGGGGCCGCACAGCAGGAGGTGAGCTTGAATGTCATGTGCTTGAATTATCCTGAAACTATCCCCCACCTGCTGATCTGTGGACAAATTGTCATCTACAAAACCCCGTCCCTGGTGCCAAAAAGGTTGAGAACTGCTGCTGTAAGAGACAGAATCTTTTGTCAGGAGTATGGATTTTTGGCATTCACTTAGCACTCATTTATTGAATTCATATTCTCTGCCCATAAATAAAACAACTCTAAATTATGTGCTTAGTGGTAGTAGAACGATTCAGGGCCTACAGGGAAGGTTTCTTACATTTTCTATTAGCTTCCTTATGTTTATGTTTTAGAACCCATGCTGTGTACTCTGGGATACATGTCAAGAAAAATCATAGAAATTTTGAAATTTGATATCTTTTATTTTTTAAAAGATTTTACTTATTTATTTTAAAGAGTGGGTAAGTAAGGGATAAAGAGATGGAGAGGAACATCAATGTGTGGTTGCCTCTTATGCGCCCCTTACTGGGGACCTGGCCCCACAACCCAAGCATGTGCCATTACTGGGCATAGAGCCTGCAACTCTTTGGTTCTCAGCCCATGCTCAATCCACTGAGCCACACCAGCCAGGGATTGATATTTTTTAAAAAGGAACTCTGAAAGATCTCCTTGGTGAGGATCTGAAAGGGTAAAGAAAAAGTTTTCTGTATTTGTGCAATTCAAGTGCCCTTCAAATCATGAAGTAATCCTAACTGATGTTGTGAAAGATAAAACTGGGCACTAGTTAAAGCAATAAGGGGATAGAGTTTATTCACTAACTACTGCAGCAGGGAGGAGGCTCCAGTGTGAAATGAAATTAAAACTTTAATGTGCAGCAGTAACTGGGAGTCTTTAGGGGAGGACGAAAAAAAGTAAGGAGGGAGAATGACTAGGGGCTTGAGAAGATTCACTGAAGTGAACATTTACAAGAAGGGAGAGAAGCGGTGATGGATGAGATCTGGATTTGTTCATTGATGCTTATCGTCAGGAGAAATAAATAAATGGAATCTTTATGCCCAGAGGTAGTGATGCAAGTTGCAGCCAGGTCCCCTGCTGGCCAGGAGCATTATCTCTGTGAAGGTTTACATTCCAAAGAGAGGTTTCCGAGGTCCTTGAGAAGACAGTTATGGCTGATAGAAGATTTCCATCTCAAAGGGGAGAGAAAGGATTTATAATTGCAAGCTCTCTAAAGTAACTGCGGATAAGCATCAATTAAATCCAGATCCCATCCATCAATCTTCTCTCACTTCTTGCACATGCCCACTTCTGTGGCTCTGCAGGTTTTATATGTATGCCAAGGTTGAGGCCTAGTTGAGAAGAGGGCTTCCAGGAGAATGTCTAGAATTTGGTTAAGCAGAGATCTGTGTCAATACATATTATTTCGAATGGCTTGAAGATCTAGAAGGCAGACAATATGTATTTAGAGTAAAGAGCAAGTTGCTGATGTGAATAGATTATTTATTCACAATGACCAGAAAAACAAACCAAACCCAAGCAGTGATAAATGTTGTGTTGAACTAATTTAAATTTCTGCATTTACATGATTTGACTTGCCAAAATAAAGTAGGTACAAAATGGGACTTTGTGGGGGAAAATTCTTGTGCGTTTTATAGATCATGAGCCCAGTGAATGAGATAATTGTAAAGGGACTAACATTTATTTTTGATGAGTAATGATATGATCAGGATCATATTGATGATGATAATGATAATGACAATGACAACGATGATAACGACAGCCAATATTTATTGAATTCTTAAAATATGCTCCAAGCACCTGGCATTAGTTTATACTTTAAATACATCAGGGGTAGGGAGTGTGTACTATTATCACCCATGTTTTACAAATAAAGATTTGTGGCTTTGGTTAATTACCAAGCCAATCTTACTTAGAGCTGGAACGTATATCTGCAGGTAGTCTGGTTCCAAGAACACGCTTAGTCCAGCCATGGGGCTGTACTATTTTGTCAGCAGTAGAGCATCCAGATCAAAATAAATGATCACCTATCTCTGTGCTCTGCATTGCTTGGTTCACACAGAGAGCTACATTTCTCTTCAGCGTTCTATTTTAGGAAGCGCACTATTGAACTCAGTTGTGTCTTGATGAGCATATGCATGGGGGTGAGTTGTAAACTATATCATATAAGTAATGGGTGAAAGCAGTAAAAATACGAAACTTATTTAAAAGAGATGTTTGGAGGTCTGGGGAGGGGCAGGACCTAGTTGTGCGTGTGTGTGTGTATGTGTGTGTTTATATCTGTTTTTTCCCCTACACAATTATGATCAGCAAGAGAAAGGGGACTAACTATACTGCTAATGAGAACTCGAGCTGATGGGTAGATGTTAAGATGCATAAGGTTTAACTGAAGCAGGGAAGCACTTTCTCAATGCTGTTCACCAATGCAATGGTTTCTTCCTGAGGCAATGACTGTGTCAGCACTGAAAGCATTAGAACAGGGGATTAGAGGATGACTCCATTAATTCCATGAAACATCTTAGTGTTGTCTCTCACCAATTAAATAATAACATGCCTAAAGAAATGAACAAATTCAGGTCCTCAGTTGATTTTCCCCCAAATATGGAGTCTAAATACATAATGCTCTCTTTTGTGTTTTAGAGTTAAAGGGTACGAGAATTACATTCCAATTTTTTCTTTCTGTTTATTTGCAGACTTCGAGGCTCTTTAATATCTCAAAGTTAAAGCAGCCTAAGTTCATTTCATACGTAACAAGTGTGAGCCTTCCAGGATATTTTGAAGTCCCCAAGGAAATCTACATTCCTCAGCATCCAGAAATTCAAACTGAAGGGCGTAAATCTTCAAGTAAAAAAAGTAGGCAGTAATGTGTGGATTGCAATATTTAGCACCATTGCAGGCACTGTGAAACAATACAATACAAGGAACAGTTTATCTCTACTAGTAGGATGTTCATAAAATATTTGGAAAGATAGTTTAGCTACATAAATACCAATTATTGAGTAATAGTTTGCATTATAAGTAACCAACAAACTACACACTAAGTTAAGTACTGAATGTGAGTGCTTAATTACTGGTACTGAACTTTGCAGACTTGTCTGTGTTACAGAATACCCATATGATAAAGATAGTAAGTGCACTTTGAGAAAGGTGAGCTCTTCCTTTGACAATGAACCTGGTTGCAAAAGTTGTGCAGGAGTTGTGGTTTGGGCTGACTCTAAAGGGGTCAGAGGGTGTTGAGGTCAAGAGCATGTCAGAGGAGAACAATACCACTTATGAGTAATTTATCTTTGATATGCACTAGGCCCTTTATTAGTTGAGTACTTACTCTTGGTCTCCTGGTGTCCCTTTATTTTGATTTGTGTTTAGGAAAGACCAAGCCAGATTTAATAGAACATGAATACAGTACATTATTAAATACAAAGGGTAATATATAAATAATGTGGCTAAATAGTATAACATATTACAATTTATTTACATTTTTCTTTCTCTTACCTCCAAGCTGATGAATAATAATAATAGGAATATGTTTTTTTTTATTAGGGCTATTCCTACAATGTACCATGTGTCATGGATTCTAAGTTATGTTATTATTCATTATGGTTTTGTCACATTTTCATTTGTAATTGCCTATGGCTTTGTGTTAACTATAAAATATTTCTATATTTAAAATAGTAGTTAAAAATGATAAGGTACAGTATAACCTGTTCACTTTGCCTAGGAGATCTGTGATGTTGAACATCTTTCCATGTGCTTATTTGCCATCTCATAAGTGTCTATTCAGATAATTTACTCTTTTTTAAAATTGGATTATCTTTTTATTATTGAGCTGCAACTATTCTATCTATATTCTAAATACAATACCATTTCAGATAATTTTCAAATATTTTTTTCTCATTCTATTGGTTGTCTTTTCACTGTCTTAATAGTATCCTTTGAAGCATGAAGTTTTCAATTTTGATGAAGTCCAATTTATCTATTTTCGTTGTTCTTATTGCTCTTGCTTTAGACATTATATCCATGACTCTATTACCAAATTGAAGGTCATGAAGACTTAGATCTCTGTTTTCTTCTGGGAGTTTTATAGCTTTAATTCTGGCATTTAGGTCTTTTATTTATTTTTAGTTTTGTATATTGTCTGCAGTAAGGGTCTAACTTCATTCCTTTGCATGTGGCTACCTGGTGGTGTCCTCACCATTGTTGAAAACCCTATGTCTTCTTTGTGCGTTAAGTGATCTTGGCACCCTTACTGAGAACCAGTTGAGCACAGATACATTGTTCATTTCTGAATTCTCTGCTGTATCCCACAGACCTGTATGTCCATCCACATGACATTTTTTAAATTGCTATTGCTTTGTGGTAAGTTTTGAAAGTGTGAAGCCCTGCCACATTATTCTTTTGAAACCATATCATTTTGCTTCTGAGATACTTAAAATGTCACATGGATTTTAAAATCAGCTTGTGAATTTTCATAAGCAAGCCATCTGGCTTTCTGACAGGCATTGTACTGAGTCTATAGATCAGTTTGCAGGGAAAGAGTCATCTTAATAATGTCAAGCCTTCAGATTCATGACATGCAGTATTTCTTCATTTTTTAAAGATATTCCTTAATTTTGGACAATTTTGTAGTTTTTGGAGTGTAAGTTTTACACTTCTTTTGTTAAATATATTACTAAGTATTTTCATTCTTTTTGATAGTACTGTAAATAACATTGTGTTCTTCATTTCTGATTTGTTCTTATTTATTTATCATAAATGTATAGAAATAAAATTGATTGGAATACTGAAATTATATTATTCAACCTTGCTGAACTGATGTTTTAATTCTAATATGTTTTACTGGATTCTTTAGGATTTTCTATATACAGGATAATGTCATATACATCTAGAGATGGTCTTACATCTTCCCTTCAGATATAAATTGTTTTTATTTCTTTTTCTTGCCTAATTGATCAAGTTAATACCTTTAGTACAATGTTAAATAGAAGTGATGAGGGGACATCCTTGTCTTTTTCTTGAACTTAGGGAGAAAATATTCAGTTTTCAATCATTAAGTGTCATGATAGCCATAGGTTTTTTACAGATGCCCTGTTGAGGAGTTCCCATCAATTTCTAGTTTGTACCATTTAAGTTATCTAATTTTTGACATAAGATTTTTTATAGCATTCTTTCATATTCCATTTTATTTCTGTATGGCAGAAGTAATGTCCCTATTTTCTCTTTTTTTTTGTCCATTTAGCTAGTTTTGTTAATTTTGTTATCATTCCAAAGAGGTAGCTTTTGGCTTCAGTGATATTCTCTAGTATTGTTTTCTCTTGTCTATTTCATTAATTTCTCTTTCAGTCTTTATTGCTTTTTCATTCCACTTTCTTTAAAAAGTTTAGGCTGCTCTTCTTTTCCCATATCTTAAAGTAGAAGGTTTATTGATTAGGTTATTGATTTCAGATTTTCTTCTTTTATGGTTATAGGCATTTATAGCTATAAATTTCCCTTAAGCACTGCTTTGGCTGAATCCTATCAGTTTTTTATATTCATCTTCTTTTTTCAAAATTGTTATTCTCTTGTAGTTGTGCCAATTTTTCCCCTTTGCCCTCCTCCTCCCAGCCCAGCCCCACACCCACAGTCAGTCCCCACCCTGCTGTCCATGTCCTTGGGTCATTCATACATGTTCTTTGACTAGGCTCTTCCCCTTCTTTGCTTCCTTATCCCCCTCCCTGCTCTCCTCTGGTCCTTGTCAGTCTGTTCCTTGTTTTCATGTCACTTGTTCCATTTTGTTTGTTAGGGTTTTTTGTTGTTGTTGTTCACTAAATTCCTCTCATACATGAGATTTTAAAGCATTCTCTAAATTCCCAAGTTTTTTAAATTTTTTACCCATTGAGTGTATTACCAATAACAATAGATGTTTGGGATGCAGGTTGAAATATTATGAAACATATAATATATAAATTAGATAAATGTAAAGCTTTCTCTTCAAAACTAGGGAAGATGTTCCAGAACTCTGTCTGCTCACCCTTCCCCACCTCCTACTGTATGTCCAACGATGGCTCATAAAGCAGATTCTCATAAGCCCAGGGCTCTTGTGAATACAGTTTGAAAGCCACTGATTTATTTCAGATTCCACATTTTATAATGAGGAAATTGAAACACAGAAAGGTTAACCAAATGAACTAGAATTAAGTTGTGACAGAATTCTATCCTCAACTTATATCTTCAGCCCCTTTGATTAGGATGTCAGATGATAGGATACTTTGTTCAACACATATTTATTGGGAGCTTAGTGTGTGCAGATAGTGTTTAGGCTCCAGAGGTAGAGCAGTGAACCCAATAAAAAAGGTCCTTGTCTTTTCGCAATTTGATGATGCAAAATTGTTCCTAGTGTTTGCTAGCCATCTTGGGCCATATGCTTTGAATGGCATTTAGTATCGGTTCCCACACTTCTGTGGCTCATTCTTTCATTCCATCCTGTGACTTAGGTTATTACTTTTTTGATAACTAGCTAGTTAGATGTACTAAAAGTGGTTGTAAGATAGAGGACTATGACTAGCCACATGAGAACTTAACCCAAATTTTGACTTTAGTAATGTTGTTTCAGTAACCATGATTCAGCTCTGGTTTTTAATTTCAAATGGTCTACCAATTATTAGTGACTAGATTGACATATTCGATATGTAGAATTATTAGCTTTGTTCATAACTCTCAGCCATTTATATTTTAAATCATTTGTTTCTACCCACATAATATATTATTAAAAATAATCACATGGTCTTCTTCCCCTGTTTAATCACTTTTTCTTCTAATACTTGAAGGTTGTGATATAATAGATGCTATTTATTTTTCAGAAAAATAAAATAAAGGTGCACTTTTACTTTATGAATACATTCTGTATTTTTGTGCATGGGAGTGCAAAACAGATTTTATTTAACGTGTATTAAATTTAATGCACAGAACTTTAGTATACTGAAATTTAGAAATCCTTGAAGGTAATTAGGTAAATTAATTGTGCTTATACAGTTTAAAAATCTGATTTTACTTGTCACTGCTATGTCATTTTATTTTTTGTTGAACACAGTATAAAACTTATTTTCATTTTTTAAAAATAAAAGTCAGTAGAAAAGTAGTGTCAAGTGGAATTTTGTTTTTAAGTATGTGGGCAATCGAATGCTTGAATGTTAACTAGTAGCACATTCTGTTGTAATATTACACATAGGTATAATAAAACACAGTGAAAATATTTGAAGTCAGCTTCTTTTCAGCATAAATCTATGATTATTTACTATCCATACATTAGTAAGTTTCTTTATTTCACCATTAAAATTAGAATGTTAGAGAATTTTTATTTTTTCTTTCATTCTTAAAACATTTTGATTTTTATCTTTTGTGTTTTAATAAGAAAAGTATTGTAACAGATACTATGATGATAGTTCATTTTTAATTTTATTGATTTTGAGAGAGAGAGAGAGAGATTGTTGTTCCACTTATTTATGCACTCATTGGTTGATTCTTGTACTCACCTTGACCAGGGGATTGAACCCACAACCTTAGTATTGTCTTGATAAGTGTCGACACTCTAACTACCATAGCTACCAGGCTAGGGCTGTGATGATAGTTCTTATGAAAGGAAATAATAATCCTGTCTTTCCTCAGAGAGGTGCCTCCTGATACTAGAGGGCTTCCCCAATTGCACCTCACCACTGGATTTCATGTAGAAGCATATCTGGATGTAATATTAAGAAAAGGAGATCTAGTGATGGAGTGAAAAGAGGAGTGATGTTAGTTTCAGTGGGTGGTAAGTGAGCAGGCACTTAAAATATAAACCATGAATACCTTATCTGCAAATTTCAAGGCCTGACCGCTGT